TTACTTTGCCGAAGGCCCAACGGGTTCCTTTTCCGCTTTCGATGATTAGTTCAAGGAGTGAGTACCTGCTGTTCTTCCAACGTTCCCCGGTCCACAGTGATTTCTACCTGGGCAGCTGGCGAGCGCTTGGCCAAGGCTGAGTGGCGGTGGTCCATCATGGGCGCCTGAGAAGAGAGTGAAAAAGGAGCATGGACGAAAGACGCTGAAGCTTTCATTTTTTGCTGCATGAGATCCTACCTTCTACAATTTTTTCCCAGATGCAAGATTTACATACAAAGGATGCACTATCGATCGCGGACGAAGACATACGATGTTAGCGTGCGCAACTGATTTCGTCGAAACAATTTGCCATGCTTTGGATGATGAACGCGTGTGTGCATCCAAGATCTATCTTTACTATGTGGTGCAGCCTTTTTCACAGGGCGCATGCAACGAACTAGTCTTGCCTCACGAGCGAGAAGTTGGGCCTCAAGCAAATTTACAAATCATAATTACCAGATCCAAGACACGCTATGGCCAGCTCACTTCCAAGACATGAATGTCATTACTGAGTTTTTTGGATGGACTCACTTACTCTTCCCGAGGTACACCCTTGTCTTCCCAGGACCGTAGGTTCATCCTTCTACCATGGTCACCTCGTGAAGTTGTTGGGTGCGCCCCTAGCTTGAGCCATGACCCCCAGACCATCCATGTGTGGCCTAGTTACCTACATTGGGCATTCATTCTATTCGTGCTAATGCCGTAGCCACGTCAGGTAGGTCAGCATTTTGACATGGCATTTGTTTGATGTTGTGTGCATGGCTGCCTCTTTTTATAACACGGCCATCTTTTTGGTTAATATATATATATATATATATGTTGCACTCCCAATGCAAGCAACATATATAGACAGACATTGATATGGATGTTCTGAAACCATCTTGGAGTGGTTTTCACTTGGCCATGGCGATGAGGATTTCAGCGCTGCAGGGGAATAGCGATGAACTTGGTAGAGAACAAAAGTCGCGGATCAAGGAAAAGCAGCTGACCTACAACGAGATTACTTGGAATACGACAAGAGTGGAGATCGTTGTCCGAAGCCATTTGCTTGGCAATGAGGCACAGGCTGGGCTGCGGGCGGATACTGCTGTGACAGGATGAGATGCCCTGACAAAGGTACAAGGCGGCATTCCAATGGTTTTCTGCACAGGTTTGGAAGGCGTTCTCGGCAATTGCAGTATCATGAGGAGGGATCATGGAACAGTCTCAAGCACAAGCAACAGTTCGGTCCGTCAATGGCACGCTGAGACGGACCGCGCTCTCACTCCGAGCGAACTCAGTGACCCGCAGGCCTGGGTGGGCCCTGGGTGCCTTTCGTTCCCAGACTCAGTGAAGCGCAGGACCAGTGCCTTTGGAAATGGCAGATCTTTGGCAAGCTTGACCATCCCAGACTCTGTGATCGAATCGCGACTGTGCCTTTTAGAATCGCTCGTTGGCAAACTTGAGGATCCCTGACTCAGTCACCCACATTGAGAATTGCACCTTTGCCAAGTGAAGCTCACTGAAGACTTGACCAAACCGAATTCAGGAACCCACCTTGGGGGGGGAAATGCCTTTGAGCTGTGCAACTCTTTGTCTTTGGCCTTGGCAGATTTAATCGCCCCAGACTCCGTCACCGTCACCCACATTGAGGACAATGCCTTTCAGCTTTGCAACTTGCTGGCTATGCCAACCATCCCAGACTCAGAGATCCACATTTGGGACGGTGCCTTTGCAAATTGCAGGCAGCCTTTTGGCAAGCTTGAACTTGAACATTCCAAACTCAGTGACCCAAATTCGGGATGGTGCCTTTGCAACCCTTGCGTTTTGCACTTCTTTGGCGAACTTCACGATCCCTAACTCCGTATCCCACATTCAGGCCATACCTTCCGTCAGTACAACTCCTTGGTGAGCTTGAACGTCCCAGAGTCAGTGACCACGCTGAGGATCAGGCTTGCACTTCCATAACTACGCTCACTTATATAATAGGTTATAATTGTCGTTCCGTCGAGCCTGTCACGGCTCCAGTCGGTAGGTGGAAAACAGGCCGTTGCGCCTTTTCAGTGGTAGCGGAGCCCCGAACACCGGGGCGGTAGATAGGTTCCTCGCTAGGTCCGCTATAGCTTGAGCCTTGGGATGGCAACCGACGGAGCTGTGGCGGATGGCGCGGCAGCAGCGGATGGTGCGGCGGCTGGGGCAGCGGCTGCAGCGGCTGCAATCAGTGCTGGTGAGAGGATGGAGCTGGAGCCCTCCCTTGCTCCAGAAACAACCGAGCTTCCGATGCCCACGTTCTTTCATCGGCATCGCAGAGGATTGCATCGGTCAGCTCGGATGGCCAGTCAGGACTGGGCAGACTGGAGGTCAGCAAGTGAGGGAGGTGGCTCGGGATCAGCCCTTTCGAGGTCTTCGAGCCGTGCCAGTGAGGACCCTTGGCTGTGGAGGGACCCATGGATGACACCTCAACCCCGACGAGAGCAGGGGTACGCCAACTGGTCTTCGTCAGAGGACTCGTCGAGGGCATCGCGGACGGAGTCGTCGGATGGCAGTTGGCACCGAGTGGAACGACCGGTTCAAGAACGACATGTCTACTGGGCCGATGAGGTGTGGAACCGGACGGACTGGATGGATTCGGGTTGGGATGACTCTTCTTCGAGCGAGTGGAGTGGTAGGTCCCAGGACTGGGGATGGACTGGACAGAATCAGAATTGGGAGACCGATTCGAGCCAGTCAGAACGGTCCTGGAAGAGCGAAGAGTCATCCACCTCATGGAGGTCTGCACAAAGTGAACAGAGGCAGACACTACGAGCTGGTCGGGATCGAGGTGATCAGGCGGCCGGGCTACATCCTGGCCAGGGTGAAGGTGTTGGAGTATATGCAGGTGACTGGGGGACTCCATCAGAGGGACTATCTGTTCAACGAGCTGCAGGTCTTACTGTACCTCCTGGGCAACCTTTGTCAGAGCTGGCAAGTGACCCGGAAGGCAATGGACCGCCTCCGTCTCCGATGTCACCGGCAGCCCACATGACTGAAGCTTGGAACAAGCCCTCGGGAAACATCCCTTCAGGACAACCCTCTGTGGCAGGAGGATCCGGTGCGACCTCCAAGGAGGGTGCAATCAGGGAGAATGTGACGACAGGCGGCAAGATCTCCACCACATACCCGCCAATCTTCTATGCTCGACCAGGTGAATCATGGGAACAATACTGGCGGACGGTGACATTTTGGTTGGCATCCGAGGGGAAGTCGCTCCCCGTCGAGATGAGGGGGCCGAGACTGATGCAGCAATTGCGTGAACGAGCCGGAAAGATCGTCCAGCACCTCACGGTCGAGCAGGTCACCTCCCCAGAAGGTGTGGACTTAATCCGAAGAGAGATGGAACGATCTCCTATCATCAGGCTCCTCGACAACAAGAAGATCGATAAACGGAGACAGAAGTTTATGAAACTCGCCCGGTTGCCCAATGAGAGCATTGAGAGCTTCATTAACCGGGCGGAGATCTACCGCAGGGAGAATGAGACCTCCCCTGCCTATCGGGTTGGATCCTGCTTTTATGTTGGTCACCTTTTGGACTCCGCCAAGTTGACTCGCAAGGACCTTGCACTGCTTAAGGCAGCTTGTGGAGGGGATGTCGAGGACGAAAACAAGGTCATCTCCGCACTCCTGGAGCTGGCCGAACAGTTTGAAGGAGCACCACAATGCCCCATTGGTCGTGGAGAGCCCCAATTGGACAATGAGGATCAATATTTAATCCAAAAGCCGGGCTCGAGCTCTTCTACTCCGACTACATCCTCAGATCCTCCTACTGCCCGACGTCGTTTCTTTCCACGGGGCCGGGGTGGCGGCCGTTTCCCTCGTCGTCGATTTCGTGATGCTCTGATGGCAATCGTGGAGGAGGATGATGAGGAGGCGCTGCCGGATGAGCTTCTGGAGGTGCTGGGTGAAGATTCGTTCGAAGAGGATGAAGAGAAGACAGAGATTCAGCAGGACATGACTGAGTTTGCTGCCGCACCGCATGAGGCCTTTGTGGCCAATCAACCGGAGTCCTCGATGGCGGCATCTCCGTTGGCTGAGATCTATGCCCAGGAATATAAGGCCCGGAACCGGGTCCGAGAGATCAAGAAGATGCGGCAGTACTTCCAGAAGGAGTCCCCGGGAGGCCCGACAGCTGCTCGGAATGAACATGTCAAGAAGTGGGTTGCTGAGCAGCAGAAGAAGGAGCCATGTTTTATATGCCACCAACTTGGCCATTGGAGCCAGGAGTGCCCGTACCGAAAGAAGGTACATTCGGCCAACGTGACTTTTCCCGTGTCACGACCTCAACAAGAGGATTGGGCCCTTTTGGAGTCTCTCGCGGCCGCTGGCGTGTACATGGTGCGAGACGGGAGCAACGAGTCCACTCTCCCCCATCAAGTGTTTTGGGCTTTGGATGAACTGGATGGGAAGGATCATACTAAGATGATTGTGGACTTGGGATGTATGAGAACCGTGGCGGGCACTACATGGGTGAACCGAGTGGTGCAGAAGTGGAAACGATTGAAGCGGTACCTCAAGGTGGTCCCTGAAGGGGAGAAGTTCCGTTTTGGAGATGGACAAGTGGTGGACAGTCAATTTGCGGTCATTTTGGAGGTCGACATTGCGGGCATACAGGCCTTGTTGAGGATCTCTGTCGTTCATGGTAACTGCCCCCCCCTTGTTGTCCAAACCGGTCTGCTCGGAGCTGGGATTCGTCATCGACACGGCTTCGCATGCGGTCACATCTAGACGATATGGAGTGAAACAGTTCGGTCTCGAACAATCCAAGGGAGGCCACTATGTCATACCGATTGATGAAGGGGGCACCGAAGGCCGATGCTCGATCGATCCTGATTTTGAGTGGCATGAGAACAAGGAGATTTGTGTGCTCGCCGGTGCAATTGGTTCAGCAATTCGGGACGGGACGTGTGACGGCCCGGACTTCCGCGAGCACTTGGCCCCGGCGACCCATGGCCCGGAGAGGGAGCGGCGAACCAGAGGTCTACGAGTTGTCGCAGAACGAATGGGAGACCGTTGGCGATGGCCTCGCGGAAGAAGAGGACGTGACCGAGCAGATGGAGGCCGAGCCGGAATTGGAGGTGAGGACCCCACTTCGGACAGTTCGCAGGAGCACAATCTCCCGGATGGTCAAGAAGCCTACATCACAGAGTCCACCGGGCAAGAGGTCAGGGAAGCCCACAGCTCGAGCAGAAGCATCACCGGCGAAGATGAAGGGGACGGCAGCAGCATCGTCGAGCGAACAAGTGGACATGGGCAGGATGCAAGCCATGTTCGCGCAGATGCAACAATGGATGATGCAGCAGAAATCGTCGCTGGAGGAAGAGGATCCGGTGGTGGACGAGAAGCCTTCCAGGCGAGGTCGCAGCAAGGAGCCGATGCCGCAGTCGGAGAAGGTCAAGAAGACGCCGCGGGCGGTCCGGACAGCGGCCCTGACAGGAGACGAGGCTCCGTTCCCGTCGCTGTCGACCCAGTTCTCAGCGGATCCCACCATGAACCTCATGCTGAGCCTCAAATCCCAGACGTTGGTGTTCAAATGGAAGCTCCTCTTACTCCTGCTGCGGGTGAAGGGCGCAGTCGAGGTGGACCCCAAGAAGAAGTGGCGGCGAAATCCTCGCTGGGTGATGAAGATGCACGGCAACCACATCGCGTCGCTTTGGGGCCACCTAGGATCAGCGCGCCAGCTGTGCTACTCGCCCAAGGTCGCCTGGCTCGGACAGTAGAAGAGAAGCACTACAAGGGTGGCGACCATGAGCTGGCGAATGACCCAGTGGGGGACGAGAGCTACGCTGGGGCGGCCTCCGTGACGGCGAATGACCCACCCGAGGAGTATGCCATGACCATGGTGGACGACGCGGAGACGGGTGAGTTTGGCAGGGCGTTGAATGATGAACTTCGCAGCCCGGTCAATTCGGCCGCTGCGCCATCATTTCGAAAGCCCCTCAATCGTCGACAGACGAGGACGCTTCAGCAAGGAGTGCAACGAGCCCTGCAGACCCACAACAAGATGTTTGATGTCCTGGATGCGAAGGTCAACATGAAGGAATGTTGGACCCTTCTCGAAGTCTTTGCCGGGCGCGCTCGATTGTCTGACTTGGCCCGGCGACGGGGAACCTGCTGGCGGGTGTTACCTCCTCAAGATGTCCTGTACGGGCTGGATCTGTTACAGGAAGGCGAGCTGCAACTCTTGAAGGATGTGATTCGCACACAACAGCCTGATGTCATCACCCTCGCTCCCCCGTGCGGACCTTGGTCGTCGTGGCAGAGAATGCGCAAACGCAAACAAGTCCTTCGCGACCTCCGGCGGCAATATACCCTTTTGGGAACTGGTCTGCTGGTGCTGGGACTTTCAGAATTCCACAGGGGGCTTGGTGGTGTTGGAACAACCTTCCTCGTCCGAGGCCCTACGGCTTCCGATCATGTCCCGTCGGCAACAAGTTCATCAAAAGGTGGTACACTTGTGTCAATTGGGCCTCAGAGATCGGATATCAGGGCAGCCACATAAGAAGCCCACAGCCGTGCAGATGAACCACCCGGCTTTGGAGACGGCGATGTTTCCGGAGAAGGTCTGTGGCTGTCAGCCGGGAGCACATCAAACTATTGAAGGCACTGTGAGGATTCGGGATCCGATAGAAGGAACAGTGAAGTCGGTGAAGCGATCCACACTGGCTGCGGAATGGACAGAGCCATTCTGCAATTGGCTACTTCACGGCCTTGAGGCCTTGCGAGAAGAGGGAACCGACTGCGTGTTGGACTTGGAACAGCCCACGCCTGCTTCACAAATGTGGGATACAGTGCCTGTGGAGGTGGAGAAGTCAGCTGAAGGGCAGATCAGACAACAGCTGGCGGCAGCGGATGGCCTGCACAAGTACGATTACATCACCTTCTTGGGCAGTTCAGGTGCCCTACCTCGGAAGATGAGATCGACCCTGGCCCATCTGCATGTCGCTCTCGGTCACATTGGGAACGACAAGCTGGCCCGCATGATGTCACAAAATGGAGCCAAGCGAGTGGTCCTGGAGGCGATCAAGCAGTTGGATTGTCAAGTGTGTAAAAGGGTGACGGCACCACACATTACGCCTAAGGCTGCATTTGCTCGGCCGATGTCCTTCAATGTCAGACTGGTGACGGACACCTTCTATGTGTGGGATGCCAAACTACGCAAGTTTGCGGTCACCCACGTGATGGACGCATTCTCGTTGTACCGTTGGCCCGGCAGTGGTGGTGGCGGTGGAGCGCCTCGATGGAGCGATCAAACGGGCGTGGCTACGCTATAGGCACAAGCTCAAAGGCCTCCCTCTCGAGTATGTCAGGATGGCGACAGTGGACGAGATGGAGGCAACTCGGGTGACGAAGGAGGCCTTACAGGACCTGGCGAAGCAGCTGAGCTCAGGCAGAGTGAATGCAGATATCCTGGAGGACGACATCCCAGAACAGCCACCTGAATATCAACCTGATGGTCGGTATCCACAGATGGAGTTCAGTGATGAAGAGGATTCGCCTGAGGCACCGGTTGGGCCGGATGAGTTGAGGAAGGCAACATCAGTCCTGGATGACGTGCCCATGTCAGTCGCCCAAGGTGTACAGAGTGGTCGACACTCGGCCCCTGATCGGTCAACTCGCCGGAGAGTGGGTCCAGCCCCGGCGGAGGCTTCATCAATCCGGGCGACAGTAGCATCTTCTTCAGCAGATGACCCGGCGTTGAGGACGGTGAGGCAGAAGAGAGATTTCTATGAGGAGGCCTTCAAGACCACTCAGGAACACCTCAAGAAGATGAAGAAGAAGCTTGAGCCCCAGTCTACCCTCATCGTAAAGCCAGTCGCTACGTCTCCGGAGATGGAAGAGTCGGAGCAGAGCGGAGAAGTGGAGGATGCACTGGTCACTTCCGAGTCGGCAGATACTAACGTGACCTCAGTCGACTCGCCCTTCATCGACGTCGACTTGTTCGCCCTGCCTTCGGTGACGGATGATGCCGGCCTGCAACATGAAGTGCCCAGCCAGATGTTCGTTACAGATATGCTTCTGGAGAGTGTTCCGTTGGAGAGGCCGTTCGATGTGTTGGAGGCCCGAAGCCGGACCCCTCGAGGCTTTAGTCAAGTGGGGATCCGACGGCATCCTACTCCGTCGACGAGGGCAAAGGTGACCTCTACAAAATGGCGCCAGCTGGGTGACGTTCCCGGAAGACTACGACGGCCTTTGACCCAAGCAGAGTTGGTTGAGGCATACCACAAAGGTGGTTTTGATGACTTCCACATCACCCGAGGCCCTGAAGGTGACTACTGGTTGCACTCCCCATTTCAGCGAGAGCTTTGGAGAGTGCATATTCAACCTCGACGACGCATGTTTGTCCCTGGCGCCATTCCAGATGAAGATCACCCACAGGATGCTGAACCACTACCTGCTGGAGTTCGCGGATTACATGGGCTTCGAACTACGCAGGTGGGATACTTGGCGCCTTCCAACACCAAAGACTATATCCTGGACAACCTCTACTGGAAGGGGTGGAATACGGCCTTGGACCCTGGCTCGCCAATGGAGGGGTGTGACCCGTTTTCTGACTTTGGATCCGATCCCGGATCATCCAGTCCTGGCAACGTGGATGCAGGGTCGTGCGTTCGTGGAGGAATTATGGAGACATGGACAGAATGCCTCCCGGGCTTTTCGTGGCTTGCCGGAGGTGATAGCTGACTCCTCCATGACTACGAACTATGTGGAGTTGGCTTTGGAGGTGTTGGCCACCTTTGAGGTCTTTGAGAGCAACAACCCGTTGGTCCATCCTGACCCGCATCCACACTGGCGGGGGCGGCAAGAGTTGGCTGAAGATGACCCGTCACACACCTCTTTGGTGGACATTCCAAAGCCGCCTACTGGGAAGATACGACTCGAACTTCAATGGTCCCAGCTAAGTCCGGCATGGCAGCAGGCATTTGAGGATCCGATCAAGGATGCTTTGGATATCTACTTCAAACACGATGCCCTGACCCATGTCATGCCGGACGAGAAGATCTTGGATGAGGAGGTGCTCCCCAGCAGGTTCGTGCTCGTCAACAAAGCGGACCCGAAGAATCAGCACCCAGAGGACTCTGACTTGGAGGAGGCCAAGTTGAAGGCACGGCTTGTCATCGCCGGGCACAAGGATCAACGTGCTGGTGACTTTGAGACCCAGGCTCCGACAGCTTCCCTCCTGTCCCACAATTTTTTGTGCTTCGTCGCTGCCCAGTACAAGTGGCGAATGTTTTTTGCCGACATTTCAGCGGCATTCTTACAGGGAGATTATCTTCCAGAGGGCCGAAGGGTCTTCATCCGGTCGCCCAAGAACTACCCGATGTTTGTCCGGGAGTTCCTCATGACCAAGATACCTCCGGGGGCGAGGACGGACCTGTTCCGCATGAAGAAGGCTGGATTTGGTTTGGCCGAGAGTCCGAGATTGTGGTACCAGAGGTTCAAGCGGGACATCATGAGCATTGGCGGTCGTGAGCTAGCCCTGGCGCCTGGGGTGTTCTCGTTTTGTGGACCCGATGGTCAGATCTGGGCCCTTTTGGCGGTGCACGTTGATGATGTGAGACTGATCTGCAGTCCAAGAGCCGAAGAAGATTTGTGGCCAAGTCTGAAGCGGCTTTTCACCTTCGGTGATTGGGTCCACCCCAAGGACTTTGTGAAGTTCTGTGGCCGCTACGAGAAGCAGATGGAGGACTTCTCGGTGGTGATCCAGATGGACGAGTATGGCACCAAGATCAAAGAGCCTCCGGTTCGTGCAGCTGGCCAGACTTTGGAACCTCTTACTCCGAATGAGAGGTCATGGATTGGCACGATCATTGGGCAGGTGAGCTGGCTAGCACGACAAGTTCGAGGAGATTTGCTCTTTGGATGCTCCCGGATTCAACAGCTCGCGGGGGTTGGGGATGCCTCCGCATTGCAAGAGTTGAAGATTTTGGTTGATCGAGCCCGCGTTCCACGACGGCAAGTGTTTCGACACCTGGGATGCGACCTGGAGACGATGGTGGTGCTTGGGGTGTCGGACGCATCCTTCAGTGGCATGCCGCGTGGAAGATCGCAAGGCGGTTCAGTTCTTTTGGTGGCCAACCCGACGATCCTGGAGGGAGAGGCTCGCGTGAATGTCCTCACGTTCCATTCATCGCTGCTCAAGCGGGTGGTTCGATCATCATTGGCTGCGGAGATTAGTCAGGCAGCCACGGTGATGGAAGAAGCGGACTTCCTCCGCGCCTTGATGGCCGAGGCTTTGGATCCTGCCTTCCAGCTGCGAAATTGGATGGCATCGGTGGCGAAGTGGCGCCAGCTAGCAGTTTTGGATTCGAGGACAGGATACGACCTCCTCAACGGCACCTCCCTCGGTGAAGACAAGAGGTTGGCGATTGACGTCGCCAGCATGCGACAAGCCTTGCAGGAGGACGGAGCCGCCCGAGCAGTCCGTTGGGTACCAGGAGAAGAGATCTTGGCCGACGATCTCACCAAGCTGATCGGAAACGGTCGGCTCATGGACGTGCTCGAGGGTGGCTCGTGGGCCTTGAAGGACACCGAGACCGCGAAGCAACTGAGGGCGGACGCGGCGGTCCGGAAGCGGGCGTACCGTCAGCGACGGAACGCTCGATAGGCACAGGCTCCAATGGGGGCTTGTGTCGTTCCGTCGAGCCTGTCACGGCTCCAGTCGGTAGGTGGAAAACAGGCCGTTGCGCCTTTTCAGTATAATGGTATATAGCTCCTTGCACTGGCAAGCTTATGAGAAAAAGTGACCGAAAACCGATGGATACTCCCTGATCTCCGTTCAGCCCTCAATCAACACACTGACCGGCGCCAGCGGGGTGAGCCAGCGACCTGATGTGATGTCCGGGTCGCTGTCGGTCTGGGCTTCGCGAAGCCCAGGCGTTCGGAAGACGTGAGCTGAGCGAACACGCCCGAACGGTTCCGATGGGACGAACACGAGTGAGTGAGCTGTCCCGTGGTGCGATGACAGGGATGAACTGAGGATTGGGGGTCAGATGCGGAGGGCACCATGCGCGGGATTTGGTACCAGCACCCCCCCGGCGAGAAATACATTTCAGGTCTCCTGAAATGTGGGGCTGAAATGGAGACTTTGTTGAAGGTGGCAGGTGGTGACCTGTGAAGTCAGGTGCTGGTAGATGTGCTGCAATCCGTGCTTGCCTATTGGTTGACCTGCAACCAGAGCATCAGGTTTCCTATATACCTACAGCATCTGTTATAGGACTGTTTGTTTGGCCCTGCGGTGGAGCACTAGCATTTGCTGAAATTATGGCATTTGTTCTGAACACAGGCAACGACGAGTGCATTCTATCATATTCTATCAACGGTCATCCTCAACGTAATAGCCAGTTCCTGCTAGTTTCCCTATTCTTGTTGAAGCGCTCCATTCTAGGATGCCAGGGCGATCCAGGGCGTGTATATGATCGATTTTATTGATTTGTTGCGCCGTAATTTAACACAATATAACAATATATATATATATATATACCAGCACCCTCAGGCCCTCAGGTCTCGAGATTTTTCGACACACATCCTCAACAGGTGACCAGTGGGCTCGCTCCGACTCGCTCCGACGCGCTCCTCGCGAGTGTCGCTCCTTTCGTCCTTCGTCCGCTCCAGCCTCCGTCGGCTCCGTCGCTCCGGAAGCGCCGGAAGCGACGTCGTCCGAGAACTCCACCCGGCCGCTGGGCGACGACCCGTGCGGACGCGGAGGTGAGGGACCAGGGTCCCAGAGGTGAGTTCGGCCCGCTGAACAGCAGCGCTTCGGGTGGAAGCTGGTTGGATTTCCTCCATTGAATGAGCATTTTTGCCGGGTCTGAAGTGAGTGACCTCAAACCAGTTTGCCTGTTTTTTTACATGGACAGGGGATCAAGGAATCGGGTAATTAGACAGGAATTCGCGGACTGGCACGTACTCCGAACATTTTGAAGTGGACCACTTCGTGTTTGTAAAAGGAACCCGCCTTCTCAAGGGCTCATGGTTTGTTCCATGTGCGTGGAATAGGTTACGTCAATGACTCAGGTACACCCTGCGAGTCAAAGAACAATTGAAAGGAATAGTCTGACTAGGTGACCCGAGTCCAGGAATATTCTTTACTGCAGTCACTCAAAGTATAGGTCCATCTTTTGGCTGCATGTTATAGGGCCTAGAGCTGGTGACATAGCCGTTCGTTGCGAGTGTTTGCTTGCCGTTCGTGCGATGTCTTACTGGGCTCAGATCACTGGGTGACTGGTTTGATGTATCTGTCAGGTGAGAGGGGCATCCACTCACTCGATGGGCCCCAAAACCATTCCGACCTGAAACTGGCGGAACCTGACTCCTTGGGTGATTTGGGATTTGTTGGGGGTGTCGATGACCTGCAACAGTCAACAAAAAGGTCATCAAAGATGATACCTGCAGCTGGGGCCCAGGGAATGGGAGAGATACCTGGGATCTGACGTGGGCAGCTTGCTAGGGCTCTCAGATACCTTTCAGCTCGGCTCTTCAACGATCAGCTGGTGGAGGTCGGATACTGAACTCCACCGAGAAGACTTAGGGGCTTGGTGCATCCTTCAGACCCCTGCGAAGGATACTGAACTCAGGATCCCCGCACATCACCGACACGAGATTTGGTCGAAGTGGTTCCTCCAACATCTTTTCCCAGAAGGTGGCTTGGTCTGTTCTGATCTTGTGGAGATCAGTGGCAAGTATGCCACTAGGTGTCTGTCTACGGCGTCCATGGGCGGAAAGACCCGAGAGCACCACGTCGAAGAACATCCGCCCATCTCACTCAGATCCATGGAGCGATGCGATGAGCCGAGGCGCCGTCACACATCTGGACGGTTCTTGTTGCGTCGCACTCCCTGGAACCGGAAATGGATGGCACGGTTATTTTGCAAGACATTGCAAGACCATTTTCCTCAACCCATGGGTAGTTCCTTGCCATTTCTTCTCCCGCTTCCGTTGCAGTTCCAGGGCCGGTACTGTCCTCAGTCGACTTGAGGTGTGGCATCCTACACGTCGAATACATGTGGATGGCACTACCCAAAAGAGTCTTCCTTTCGGGGCCATGCCACTTCCACCATGTGCGTGAGTCAGAGTGTACTCAGATCTAGGCCCGAGTTTGGTACACAAGAAGTCTCAGTTCAAAAGGAAGATGGGAAGGTGTTCCACCTCCCTTCGACCCTTTGGACGGTGAAGATGGGGTCCGGTGGTCACTGGATCTGTGGCTTAAACTGCGGGGTCCGGTGGTCACTGGGTGATTAGTCGGAAGGTGGTTGGTGACGAGTCAGAGCTCAGTGATACGTTCGTAGCGTCCACTGTTCGTAGTAAGGCCAGGCCCCCCCGGGTCGCGTCCGCTCCCGTTCGGGAAAAATTGTTCCGTTCGTAGCGTTCACGGTTCCTGGGCCCGGGAGCTCAGCGGGGCCCTGCACTGAGAACACCTGTCGCTGGGCGAGATCGATTCGGCGAGTGGAAGAATCGGAGGGCTGACAGGGTTGTTCCCAGCCGCCCTCACGGTTTTTATCGAAAAAGCATCGACGTTGTAGCTATTGGCCGAGCCCGACGGCCTGCGATCATCTTGCTTGCAGATTACAGTTTATAGTATATCGTTCTAGTGCTGCTAGTGATCCTGAAGTTCCAGGTCGTTGAGAACCTAGAGGTTGCAGATAAGACCAGAACATTCATGTTACGTTGTTTTTTTCCGAGGCCGCAAGCTACAAAAGCAGGGCTTCAAACCATTCACAACGTCGCACCACAAAGACTTCGGAGTGAACAATTGAAGCAGCAACAACAACAACAACAACAACAACAACAACATGACCCAGACCGTCCAAGTATGGAAAAATCACACCCCCCATTCAATGACATCTTATGACCTCTGTAAGATGTTGTGAGTACCTACCTTCCATCTACCTTTCATACATGGACATGTTCTCTGGCTGAGTGAGACCTTTTCCTTTGGCCCAGAAACGCCTGTCCGGAAAAGAAAAGGCCTGTCCGGTCGACTCGACCCCTCCCATCACCCCCGGTGCCCCCCGGTGCCAAGCCTTCGCATCGGTCCGGTGGAGCAGGTGATCCAACGTGACATGCTGATCTTTGCCACGGCCCGATTCGGCGATCCTTCGTGCTGCGCTCCGCCCGACCGGTCACGTGAAAAGCTGTCGTGTTTGCGGTTTTTGTGGGAGATGTAGACTAGGATACAAAAGGTGTTATATTTTGTGGCGAAAGTTTGTGGTAGTTAGTTTTCAGTGCCATGCCATTTATATAGTTAGTTCTTAGGGGGAGTGCAGCTCAAATCCTGGAACTTAGAAGCAAGAACTTGGAAGGACAATATGGACAATGCTCTTTCGCCTCGGAACTCGATTTCCATGATTCTGAAGGGTGTTTGTCCACCTTTGTGTTATTTGGATCTGTCAACTATATGCCAACTTTCTGCTTTTTCATCCGTAAGCCCGCCAGGTTTGGAAGACGTTTTGCATACGGGTCTACTCTCCGACTCACTCCCATCCGCAGTTTCAACGAGCAGGAAACGCTTCGAACTCGGCCGTGGTCTGCATGAGTTGGCAGTGCCGCGCGGGTGGCCGGCGCCAGGTGAGTCAATGGGCAGCGGCCCGGGCAGTACCTGAGAGGAGCACCGAAGACTGGGGGTAGCAAGAAGCTATTAGTAACTAAGTGCATCGCTACTAGTAGCAAGAAGCTACTAGGTGCAGGCCATCGCCATTAGGTTGGAGGCCATCGCTACTAGTAACAAGAAGCTACTAGTAACAAGTGCGTCAGTGCATTACGACTAGTATCAAGACAACTAGTGCAGTGGCTTCGGAGTAGATGGCACCAGCTTAGCCAAAACAAAAAACGATTGGGGTCCACTACTATCAAGCACCAACCCTTGCGGTAACTTGTGGTTCCATCTTTTCACCACTTATAAGTTGGATGAAAAAGGATGAACATCGGCATCTTCAAGAATCATCCCCCGATGGTTTGAGGTTCGGGTGTGTGGTTTGAGATGCCCTGTGACTCACTAACATAGGAGTGGAAGGTGTCCCCATCTGACCCCGAAAGGAAGAGGATTTTTCCTTTGGCGACAGGGTGGGATGGGGTGGGAGTGTCCACTTCCACGTTAGTGAGTCGCAGTGTATTTGTTCTTCTGCAATGTTTGCTAACTATCCGCCACATGGTTGCTACAAAAGTGGCGAAACCAGATGGCTAACATTTAGGATGACTTAGTACTGTATGTACTGCATGTTTCAACACTAAGATGATTGCTGGATCCTGTCCCTAGACCGATGCGACAAGTTGTTAGTGTAGTGGTTTTCGGTTCTCACTGGGGATGCGAGCGTGAACTCTTCGACAGGTAGTTTCAGGGCAACCCAGTGAGTGTTGGGGAAAGGTGAAGACCACGACTGCAAAAGGTGTCGGGAGAACGATTCTATGCCTGAACCCGCTGTGCCGGTGCTCGTGAGGCTGAAGCTGGTGCCATGTCCGTGACAAACATGTTTCCCAAAAGCCTGAACAAAGAAGCCAAGGAGCAAACAGCAGCAGAATGCTGAATTCCCTACAAGTGCCCATGCGAATGCCGGGCGTTGCTGCAAGGGGGGGATGCCTGAACCCGGCACCAAGGTGAAGAGAGCCATGGCGGAGAGAGTTTCGGCCTTCCGTCCGAGCGGTGAAGAACTAATTCTTGAAGTCACGCCAGAGATGACAGGCCGAGAGCTAAAAGAGCAGATCAAAGAAGGACAGACTTGGGATGAGCCTACTCGCAGGACGACCGCTGTCGAGATTATTGTCGGAGACTGCCACATGCTGGCCAATGATGCAAAGGTCTTGGCAGAGATTGCCGCGGACACAGTGGTGAGTGTGGTTTTTCACCCAAACATAGTGAGATGCTCCAACAAGGATGCACTCTTCAGTCTTGGCAGCGCCATTGATTCAGAAGTGCTGCTTGCGGTCGAAGTCCCAAGTGATGAAACTCAGATCTGTGGAATGGCTTTTGCAGGTTGTGACAAGCTAGCGAAGGTGACCATCCCAAACTCAGTGACTCACATTGGGAATTCCGCTTTTCAAGGCTGCACGTCTTTGGTGAGCTTGACCATCCCAGATTCGGTGACCCACATTGGCAACAATGCCTTTAGGCGTTGTAGTTCTTTGGCCAGCTTGACCATCCCAGACTCAGTGACCCACATTGGGGGTGGTGCGTTTCTGGGTTGCCGCTCTTTTGCGAGCTTGGCCATCCCAAGCTCAGTGACACACATTGAGAGTCGTGCCTTTGAGGATTGCAGTTTTTTGGCGGTCCAGACCATCCCGGACTCTGTGACCCACATTGAACAGTTTGCCTTTCAGAATTGCAGATCTTTGGCCAGCTTGACCATCCCAAACTCAGTGACCCACATTGGACCTGGTGCCTTTTTTGGTTGCAGTTCTTTAGCAGACTTGACCGTGCCAGACTCCGTGACCCACATCGGAGAGAATTCCTTTGAGGGTTGCACACGGTTGAAGAACTTGACCATCCCGCAGTCAGTGAAGAAGGTGGGAAATGGTGCCTTCAAGGGCTGCCGCTCTTTGTCGAACTTGGCCATGCCGAACTCCTTAACCCACACTGCGAACTTTACCTTTCAGGAGTGCGGCTCTTTGGTGAGTTTGACCATCCCGTGCTCTGTGACCCACATTGGAGATTCTGCCTTTAAGGATTGCAGTTCAATGCTGAGCTTGACTATCCCAAACTCAGTGACCAACATCGGCAATTTTGCTTTTGAGGGTTGCAGCTCCCTCGCAAACTTTACCGTCCCAGACTCAGTGACCCGCATAGGGGATCGTGCCTTTCAGGGTTGCAGCTCTTTGACAGACTTGAGCATCCCAAACTCGGTGATCCACATTGGGGATTCTGCCTTTGCAAGTTGCACATCTTTGGTGTTGAGGGTGTCCACGCGGACCACCTACACTGAGAATGCCTTCGAAGGCTGCAAGTGGATCAGACTTCAAGCTGAGAACAGCCAATTTGCAGCATAAACTCTCCCTCCCTGCAAGAACCATGTTACGTGGATGACTGGCCTCGACTTCGGATTTGCTGGAGCTGCAGCTGGATGACCATGGCCTCGCCATCATGGCCCCTGTTCCTGATGAGCTGGAGCCGGCTCCAAGCGGGGGATGCGCGGTCTCTAACTCCGGGCTGCTCCGGGTGCCGAGGCATCGAAGACATCGAAGCATCGCCAGCATGTCCCCACGAGAGTCCTCCAGGCAGTTCCCGTCGCTGGGAGTTCCAGTGGTGACCTTCTTAGACTGAACCAGTGACTGAAGGGCCCCTGGGATGCATGGAACCGAACCGGTCGCTGGATGGATCTGCCCGGCCTGATGCGCTGCGGTGGTGTCTCGCACCGGATGCGCTGGCGTCTCGCACCGGGCAAAAAGAAACCGGTTCGTTTCAGACGGTCCGAGTTCAGTGAACTTCAGAGCTTCGGGGACTGAAAACACCGAGGACCCCCCCCCACGTGGAAGGCATTCGAGACTCTCCTTAGAACGGGGGTTCCCCTTTTGGCAGAGGAAAGGTGCTTTTCGAAGGAGCCATGTTCCACTTCGTAGCTCCAGGGATTGCCATGGTATCTCCAGGGAGCTGAGTGTACCATCATTAGGGCTTCCACTGACACCGTTCCCAATCCCATGGCGCGACCGAAGACGGTGCGGATGGGGCGAAGCCAAGACGCCGCACGCCGCATCGGTGTGCGGGGAGGCCGCGTCGGTGTGAGGTGAGCTTCTTCCCATTTGATGTGGGAAGACTATACTTGTAGTTATATGCCAGTTTCTTTGCAAACCATGTCAGTTGATCCCATTTCTGTTTGCCAAACGGCCTTTTTCCCATTTTTAAGGTCATTGGGGGCATTACGAGTAAAAACAATATTTGGACAAACACATGAGCAATAGGGCTTTTTCCCAGAATGACCATTTTGTGCGTGTAGCTTTCCAGGAAGTCATAAGGGAAAGATAAGCGGCCCTACAAAATCAAAGGCTACTAGCAAAAAAACATTTGTTATGTGTTTTTTTTTTTGTCGCGTGCGCATATTCTGCACGTGGGGCTTGAACTCCGCTTTGTTTTGGACTTCGAGAAGGAAGATGTCAAGGAAGAAGAGCTTAACTTCAGAAAGCTATTAATTTTTAGCTTCAGAAGTATCTTGATTGATGGCCGGACATGCTCGACCAAGCACGTCCGGCATGCCAGTCCGGTGTGCGGCGGCCATCGGCAAAATGTGAAGCACCATACCTTCACTGCAACGTCTCAAACTGAAGTGAACATCGATGGGAGGCTGATGCAGTTGCACCCACTTGACAACAAGCGTCAATTTATCGCGCCACACTTCAGCCGTTGGTCATCATGAGTCCTCCTCAATTTCCACAAAAGGTTCTTCCATGTTCTTCCAAAACACTCAGATACTCTCAGGAATCCCGCACGTCGTACATCACGTCACATCACACCGATCGCTTTGGTGCGATTGCAGCGGTCTGCCATGCTCAGCCCACGCAGCCCGCACGCGCGGGGCGCTGCCGCGCGTGCGGCGCGCGAGACGCTGGGCTGCTGTGTCGGGCGGCGGAGCATCGCTGGCATCCCACGGGAGGTGGTGGTGGCCAGTGCAGCGCGGACACCCATAGGCTAGCAGCCGGGTGGGTGGGGACGTCGATGACAGATCAAAGAAGATGTCAGGTGTCTACCAGCTGCTTCCAAGGGTCACCAATGGATATCTCCACACTACTTACAAGTCTCCATTCGGCACCCCGACAGGAAGCGCTAGGTATAGGAGTTAAACCCTGCAAATGGCGGCAGATCGTTCTTTTCCGGCAACACATTCCAGCACAACTATAGACTCTATGTTGGTGATTGTTGGTGCGATTAGTTAATGTCCCCCCAGCATATGAGCCCTTGATCAAGACATGTCATGTCATGCACTTTGGCAGCGCCTGTGGATGCTTCTGACTGCTGGTCGTCCACTCATGTACTGTATTCCTTGAATATTAGAACCATGTGCCTAGAACCCAGATCATGATCCATGTATTGATGGAAAAATGCCACAGTGTTGTTGGTGGTTCAACATAGAGGTTATTCAGGTGCTAGAGGTGGTGGGAGATGATGCGTAGCCTCCCCCCCAGCTGGCTGATTTTTCCTCCCAACAAGGTCATCATGTCATCGTGGCGAGCTTCTGATTCCCCTGCCAAGTGTCAACGATTCGCCTCGGTTTCTATCAGCTGTGCTGCGGCCGTGCTGTTCCTCAGACTGTGTGCTTGGCAAACCTCGACCAGAGTGGTTTTGACTGAAAAGGTCGGGGTTGCTTTGAGTGGTCTGTAACTCTTACACGGTGCCCTCGAGGGGAGAAACTGTTGAACATCAACCCACTTGATGGGACTCAACAACCCGAGGATCATTGGGAACAAATACACGACAACACCTGGATGTTCCAGGCGGAACTTTTGCACGGAATCTTGGGAAAAGCACCTGGAACATCGAGGAACTGGTGCAGATGGATGAACACCTCAGCAAATTCTGGGGGACTCATCAACAGCCTTCGTCCCTTCTCCATGCTCGGAGCCTCCAGAGGCGCCTTCTGTGGTGCCCTGTCGCTCATGCCCGTGCATCGCTTGGGTGCCGCGGCCCTGGGCGCCGCCGTGCGGCGGGCGGGGCTGGAACCACACGAGGCGGAGCGCGACGGCGACACGCCCGAGACTTCTGGATGAATAACACTCACTTGGAATTGAAGATCCTTTTCTGATGGGGGATGAAATACCATCAAGAGGCCACGTCACATTGGACTCGTTGTTGGATGAAGTTCACGGTGCTTTCGTTCCCAGTGGCCGAATTGAACCGTCCCCAAACCCGAAAGAAAACACCACCGAGATGCGCAGCGGATAGATCAGCAAAGAGAACAGCACCTTGCCCAGATCACATCGTCATCTTGTTGTTTGGGCGCGTCGGTCCGCTGAGGTGGAGATGGTGCTGATGGGCCATGCGATGACGGCCGGCTGTGGCAGCCACACGGCGCGCCAGGCGGCCCATGCGGCCGAGCTGCCGGCGACGGTGGACTGCACGGGCGTGAACAAAGGCAACGGGAAGACGAGCCGGAAGGTGCTCGAGCATCCTGTTGAGGGTGTCCCTCTAAGTAGTGCTAGGGATGTGTAGAGTAGTCCAGCCAGGACACCCATGCAGGATGGCACTGGCCGTTTCAGTGTGCAAGGATTGTGACATGCCAAGGCAATGGAAATCCCTGACTACCATTGTTCCAGCCATGTGGCGCTTGCATCCAAGACGCTCCCCAAAGAGAATAATTATGGGAAGCCAGGAACTTGGGTGTGCCCATCCAGCAGAGGTGGGTCAGAACCCGAACGTTCGACTCTCCGAACGTTCGGTACCCCTGGTTTTCCGGGTCCTACACTCCCGAGTCAACTCACGACCCTAACGTCCTGGCCCCCTGGGTCCGCATGTTTTCCTCTACGAAGCCGTGGTTTTCAGGGTCCATGGGATTGTCGCCAGCCTAGCGCTGGCCCTCCGATCCGGCAGATCCAGGGTGTAGTTCAGGTCACTCTCCACCTTTGACATCTCGAAAGGTCCGGGGCATCAGGTCGGGTGCAGGTGCTGTGAAGAGGGAGCCCTGGACCAGGTCAGGCGAGCCCTGGACCAGGTCAGGCTGAAGATGCACCACCCAAAGGGTAGTTCATCGATCCCCTTGAAGATGCATGTTCCAATAGGTTCCATCATTTCCATCCAATAACCATCCTTTGGGTGGTGCTGGTGCAAGACTCTTCTGGAAAAAGCTTCTAGACCACCAAATGGTATAGAAAAGCCGAGCCCCAAATCGATCGAAAAGCCGCAGGAAAGCCGATCCCCACATGTTCATGTCATTGGAAAATACCAATTCGATCTATCAAACGGTCCTCCCAACCTCCCTGCGACACCCCCGAGAACGCGCCCTGTCCACCCGCACGTGGGTTTGGATGGGGGTTGCCCCCGTCCAGCCACACGCGAGGTGGGGAGGTAAAAGGGCAAAAAGCCCTAAGGCATTTGCAACATCTGTGAACAAAATTGAAAATAAAACATATATATAAGGCATTTTGCAAATTCATGCAAATTCGGTGAGACATGGAATTCGACGAACAAATCCTGCTTCAGTTCTGAAAAGTTCACCCTCAAGTCAAGTTGCACCTTCACTCCAAGAGTATGCTGGTTGTAGTGCCTGAACACCGGACCTCCATTCCACTCGAAACGGTCACCACTCTCACCGTCTGGAGGCTGCGCGTCTGGGCTGAAGGCGATCACCTTGGCGGCTCAGGCGATTGCCATGGGGCAGGTGCGGACACTCGCGTGTTGGGGTGTAATGTTTGAAGAAACGATATACACCAGCACCCAAGGGGTGGTGATTGGATGAACAATGCATCTTCCCTAGCCTTCAGTTCGACCATTAAAAGAACGGTTGAGCTGGTGGTGTAGTGTAAAAATCCTTAGTTTAACAATGGTTCTTTGGTAAAGACCATTAAAACAATGGTTGTTTGAATCCTAGGGTCTTCAGTTCTTTTTCTAAACCACCCGACTTGGGTGGTGCTGGCAGGAGTTCTTCTATGTTGGGATGGTATATTTGAGTTGCCGCTTTTGTGGTGGGAGAATGAAGGACCTTCAAATCATGAAGGCCCTTCTCATAGCATAGACCGGGAACTTCATGGCCGATGCGGAAGGGTTTTCTGCACCGGACCGCGGACCATTCGAGAGTCCAAGCTGCGCCGTGTCATTGCATCGAAAAGGCGGGTTTACAGGTGCCGCTGTTTCCATCAAAGATGGGCCATGTGGACTGATATAGTGTAGTAACTGGTGGATTCGGGAACTCATTTGCATTTTGGAAGGTTCCTTGGGACCAAGATGCACCAGATGCGATGCAAGAACGAGTAACTTCTGAATCCTCGTGGTTGGGAAGCACGATCAGAACTGAACTCGTTGAACCCCTGCTTCTATAGTGGCGTGGCCATTTGCCAACCACTCGCATTCCTGCATTTTTCCTGAGCTTCCAACATCATTAAAGACAGGTTGCCCTTAGCAAAAGCATGTGAAATAAGAGTTGTTTGAAGATATCGGCACCCTTTAAAATTTAAACCCACTGGAGCAGGGCTCTGTTTGGGCGCATGTAACTATGCCTACTGGTGAGCCCTCAGGGGTCAATCTAAGCAAACAGGTCGATGTAAGCAAATTCTATCACACATGGAGTTGACCACCCCTGGTCATGGCTCCACATCCACTCAAAACACTGAGCTGCATGGATACTGGACACTGATTCGCGAACGACGATCCCCCCCGGTTGCAGTGTTTGAAGGAGGTTAGTTCACGCCAGATCCTGAACTCAGGTGGATGTGGCGCTCTGTGGAGGCATGGACCCTTGGCCATCCTTGCGAGGCATCGGCCGGCCTGGCGACTCCGATGGGCGAGTAGCCGATGAGGAGTCGTCTTCCAATGTCTTGAAGAGAAAGGTTGACCCGGTTTCGGAATGCAACATCCTCAGCATCACCAGGGTAAAACCAGGTGCAACAAGGGATCAAAAGGGCTCTTCGTGGTGCTTGACGTGCTTTGACCATGTCCTTCGCAACTGGAGCTGGCGCCATCCCTCGGCCTTGCTCGATGGGAGCTGTCCCGCGTTTAGAAACGGTGCTGTCGCCGAAAGAACGAGCCTCCGGCAGGGTGGGCAGCTTATATTAAGAGATGGAGAAAAGGCATTCTGAACCTCCCAAAAAGGCGGCTTCGTCAAGGATTCTGACCATCAGACCCTCCTATCAAGATTTTTAACCCTAAAGAATGCGCAGAAGATGCTGGGATTTGGGGCCTCAAAACCTCAATACGCGGAGTCTTAGGGGGGTGGCATGGTTTGCGTATGGGGTGGCATGGTCCACTCTCTCCTTAGTGAGTGGGAGTGTTTATCATTGTTTATCCCAAACGAACACTTGAGCCACAAGTTTCTGGTGATGTGACCCTTTTCGCATGGCTTCTCCGAACTCTGAGGAGAGCATGTCGCAAGTGCCCTACTTTCTCCGCCCCTTTGGAGGGTGTTTATGACCACCCAGAGGCTGCACAAGTGAGAAAGCAGGGAGACTGTGCTCTTCGCTGTTTGACACACTCGCGTGCCAGCGATTGACCCGAAAAGAAGCGATGTCCCTCCAAGTTCGGCCGTATACATTCTGCAGTATCTCTCAGTCTTACTTTTCCATGCTAAGCACCTGTCGGAGCCGTGGCCCCTTCACTACCCAAAAGCACCTACCCCATCCGACTCTTCTACCCCCAAGTGGTGTAGGGCAGGCATGGGCAGGCCAGGACGCCCGGAATTTGGATGGTCCCGGAATCGGAAACACATCACCAGGATTGCCAGGAGTTGTTCCCAGGTACAGCGTACACATCACCGGTTTTGAGATCACCGGCGAAACACACTGGCTGAAGGCCCCGAAATGGAAGAAGAACCATACCAGCACCCTCCAACAGGCTGTTAGTTGAGGGTTGTTGGACCTTAACAGATCTCAATTGATGACCTGTCGGAGGGTCCTGGTAGAAGCTCTGTTTTTTCCAGCGCACCAAGGGGAAATTGAACGCCTCTCCCTGAGGCTCGCGACACCCAATGCGGACTCCGAAGTGACCGGGACTCCGAAGTGACCGGGGCTCGAGCCCAAAGCCCTGAAGGATCGCGTTTGGTTTCCAAGAAGGGGAGGGAGTGAGTCCATCGGGCACGGGGCCAGGCCCCGATTCTGGGAAACCTCTTGGAATCTGAAAGGGTCTTTTCAGTCAGGTCTTTTGCCTGTGAACACAGGGGTGCAATGACCCAGGCACTCCATGGGACTGCCATATATTGCCTACATTGACGCCTCCAAACCACCCCAACTGATCGGCATAATTATATGGCAGTCCCATGGAGTGTCTGGGTGAGTTCAATTCCAAGGCGTGGATAGATTCTCCGTCCCGCTGGAAGATGTTTCGACCAGTCGCCTCCCTGTTGTGCCCTGCCACGCTTTCTCCGGCCTGTCTCGCCCCCCCAGCACCCTGTTCCGGCGTGTCTCGGGCGTCTTGGCAGTGCTGGAGCGAATGAGGCCATGCACGGCGGGGAGGATATCACTATGGCCACGGGACCTTGGAAGATTCCGCACTGTCCGATGGGCGCCTCGGCGCCCAATCCGAGGACCGAAGAGCTCCTGCCGAGCTCGGGAGCGGAATGAAGACTGGGGGGGAGAAAAGGAACCTGTTGAGCAAATGAAGAAAGGGAAGACTGGGACGGGGGGATTTCTGGATGGATCGAAATACCAGGACCTTCCCACAAATGTTTGAAGACCACGACCGTAACGGCCTGTCAAAGCTCGCCCTGTTTCGGAGGGTCCTGGTATAGGCGCCTATATGGCTTCACCAGTGGTTTGAACGTCTTTGTTTCGCTTGACGGTCCCATTCGAAAGGCTCTGGGATGCCACCAGCAATTGCCATCTGAGCAGCTGCGTGGAGCACACCGTGGAGGACATGCGGGATTCCGTATGACCGTCACGTGCGGTTTGGTGATCGGAAGGGTGCCACGTACATCATCTACGCGACGCGAAGTGGAACGATCGTTTTTATTATCGTGCCAATTTCCACTACCAAATGGGTGGCCTCAAGGCCACTAAACAGAAAAACGGTGCATTTTGTAGAAATGAACGTTTTGGATGTCCATCGCATTCTTTAGTAAGATGCTGTGATTTGCACCCCAGACGTCAGGCAGAACGTTTTGTAGAAGCCCTTGATTTTTGTAGTGCGCCATATATCCATAGGTGTTTCTTTTAGCACTGTGTTTTTGCATGGTACCTTGCATTTTGTAGCAAATGAGGTTGCACAAACAGTTCTGTATAACTACAAAACTCTACAACATGTATTGTCCAAGGTCGCCTTGTGGTGGGGTTCCTGAGCGAAGTATGTCGAGTGAATGTTGCAGCCAGAGCAGCCGCCGGGATCCACCAAAGCAAAGAACTTTGGAGCAGTCCCTTCACAGCATTTCAATGAAGATGTGGCGTTACATCAGTTATAGGAGACTAATATAGACTAATTGATTATGCAGATTGTGTAGCATTGTGCACATGCAATTATGCACATCCCCGTCGGAGTGGCTGCTAATTCAACATTATTTATTCACCAACCTCAGCCATGGCGATGAGATTGTCGGCGCTGAAGGCCAACGGAGAAATCATTTGTTTTGTAGTCACGCCAGAGATGACAGGCCGAGAGCTAAAGCAGCAGATCAAAGAAGGACAATCTTGGGATGAGGCAACGCGCAGAACTACTGAGGTGGAGATAGTTGTTGGAGGCAGGTTGCTGGGCAACGATGAGAAGGTGGAGGACGCGGGGCTGGATGAAGATGCTGTTATAACCGTTCTTTTCAAAGCAAGGTTGGTGAGATGTTCAGACAAAGGTGCGGTCGCCAACCTTTACAGTCTTGTTGACCAGGAACTGTTTGCTGTTGAAATCCCACGCGATGAAACTCAAATCTCTGAAGCCGCCTTTGCGGGTTGCCATGTATTTGCCAAGTTGACCATCCCTGACACAGTCACCCAAATTGGAAGGTCTGCTTTTCAGTCATGTGGCTCTTTGGCAAGCTTGACTATCCCAGACTCTGTGACCTGTATTGGGCATCATGCTTGTCAGCATTGTAGCTCTTTGGCGGCCTTGACTATCCCAGATTCAGTGACCGACATTGGGCATAGTGCCTTTGAGAATTGCAGCTCTTTGGTGGCCTTGACCCTCCCGAAGTCTTTGACCCAGATCCTGGACGGTGCCTTTGCAAGCTGCACATCTTTGGTGAACTTGACCATCCCAAACTCAGTGACCCACATTGGTCATCGAGCTTTTGAGGATTGCAGCTCCCTGGCAGGCTTGAACATCCCGGGATCAGTGACTTACATTGGTCATAGTGCCTTTAGGAATTGCAAGTCACTAGCGAACTTGACCATCCCAGACTCAGTGGCCTACATTGGGCACAACGCCTTTCGGAATTGCCGCTCCTTGGAGGAGTTGAGCATCCCAAGCTCGGTGACCTACATCGGGGACGGTGCCTTTGCAAGTTGTGAATCCTTGGTCCTCACAGTGTCTTCTCGGGCTGCCTATGGGAAGAATGCCCTTCAAGGTTGTAAAGAGATCATAGCACCATACCAAGCTTCTTGCTCAATTCTTTGAAATCGGTCCCTGAATGATTGTCAGCCAGCACCTTCGACTCGTCCACGGCGCTGTGAAACTGCACTTGGCCCGTGATCCCAAGGCAACCGGAAAGAGTTCATTGTTTCGTACGACAGCTGAAGCTCTTGACATAAACAGCGGTTGCAGCAGTTCAGGGTATATACATGTTCAACTGGCTGTCCAGCTGCCTTTGGCTTCTCTTAGCTGCTTTTGTTTCAGACTCCTCTCGTGTGTCATCGAGCACCAACTTTACCATCGCCGTCATGGGCCGTATCAGTTCTTCGCAAAGGCGCAGCGTTCAAGACATGAAAACAGGATAAAACGGTGATTTTTAAAAACAGCTTCGGTGAGACAGATGTCTAACGGTTTAGGTTATCTCCTGTTTCCTGGTTATCTGGTACAGTAGTTGCGCTGTTTTTTCTATCTAATCGGTTCCGCAGTCCTTCACTACGGAGGCCCAAGCTTCGCAAGACAGCTGCTTTGGTTTGGGCCATTGTTTGGGCGTTTTAATTCTGTTGGCCCTCCATTTCCTATACCCTAGAAGTCCAGTTCGACTATATTTTGACCGGCTGAAGTAAAGGAAGTTCCCGGACTCAGGTCCCCTAGTCAGACCATTCTTTTTAGAGTCTTTGAACCCCCCCCGGGGCCCTGGAAGTCAAAGACCATTTTAAACATGGTTGATCTGGTTTTGTAGTGTAAAACCCTTAGTGAAACAATGGTTGTTCCGTAAAGGCTATTAAAACAATGGTGGTTCGACTTCTAGGGAGGGTATATGTTCCTTTACTAACCTCGGATGTCGAGCCATTCAGCATCCCACAGGCAGACCCAGGCCGTTGACCTCCTCGACGAGTGGAGGTCGAAAACTCACGATCCGGTCGAAGGTCTAAAACGAAGGTCTGTGAAGAGATGGTTGCTTCGGGAAGCCTTTCCCAGAGAGTCCCAGGGGTATCCTTTACACAGCTTTGGGAAGCCTTTCTTTTTTGGAGATAAATATCCCTTTCCGGTCGCCTTCGGAAGCAGCGAAGAAAGAAGAACGAGGAAAGCACGAGTCGCGACCTGGTCCGGAAGAACGACGACTGGAGGGGGGCCTGATTCCATTCTCGAACGACGTCGGTCCCAGCAGCGACCGACGTCGGGAGAAAGACCCCGCAGCACCGCCACAGGAGTTGGGCCTGAACCGTGCCGCACAGGACCGCTATGCGCTGGAGAGTTATGCGAAAGCGGCCAAGGCTTGGCAACAGGGCGCCTTTGATTTGGAAGTGGCGCCTCGGCACGAAGAGGGTCTTCACTCTTACATGGATACACCAGCACTATACCAGCACCCTCCGACAGGTCACCACCTGACACTTTGAAGTATCCAAAAGCCACCAGCTGGTACATGCTTTTTCTTTTTCCAAGAAGTCTCAGTGGCTGATGTGTTGGGGTCGTGGTTTGGGGAGTGGTGTTTGATGTATTTTGGGCTTGCGGCCAGCTCAGGCACCCGTGAGGGTGAAGAACCCCGCGGCCGAGTAGCTTGGGCGCTGTGTTGGGTTGGGCAGGTCCGACCCTTTGGCTCCGCGAGAGAGTACAGTGGTCTCAGAGGTTCGATGGCACTGGCACCGCAGATGTCTTTGAAGTCCATATGCATCCATATACACCACCAAACTTGGGGCCCCTTGAGCCATCGATTCTTGAAACTACTGATTCATCAACTCCCCCGCCCTAGATGGCTTTATTCATCCGACATCAAGTTTCTTTTGACGAGCTTCCGCACCCGCGGGGACTTCCGAACCCGTGGGTGGTTGTTGCTACCGTACACTCGGACGAACACGGCCCGGTGGTGGAAGTGGAAGTGGACGGCCTGGAGTTCGGAAGACCATCCTCTATCCCAGACACTCCAATATAGGCCTAGACATTGGGGTGGTTTGATGGGTCTTTCTGGGGCGGCAGCCCCATGGCAGTCCCAGACAGGTCGTGTTTGGGTATAGAAACAGGTGGTGAGCTCCATTTGCAGGTGAGTTCCAGGTTAGTTGAGTCACCTCACACCACCTGCTCCCCGGCGCGCGTGGTACCGCGGAGTGACCCGACCGACCTTGCAGTCTCCGGGCCTTCCGCCGAAGCGGTTGTCTGTCGGACGCACGCGACGGGGTGGCCGCTGGGGGTGTCGCGAAGAGGGACAGCAGACGCTTCTCACGCTGATTCACATCCTCATATCAGGATAAAAGATGTGCTCGGCCCTGGGTACAGTACTATTTTGGAACCAGTTGCTCAGTCGCAGCAATACTCAGCAAAATCGTCCCAGAGGCGGCCCTGGACCCAAACCAACTGCTACATGTTGGAGGTCCAAACCTGGCTGTGAGGACCAAAACCCTAGCGAACTGAGGGTCCTGCCACTGAGCCTTTGGGGTAGGTTCATGAGCCTTTGGGTCTAGTGCTGACCTGGTGGGTTCCTAGGCTGCCCAGCTCGGTGGCCTGCTTGGCCTGCTGGGTGGATCCAAGGACTTGACGCTCAGACCACCGCACCGGTGGACCTAGACCGCACCGGTGGACCTGGACCGCACCGGTGGACCTACCTTTCACCCGGACCGGCAGATTCGACGGAGTTTGGTCCCCTCTTGGTTTTGATGTGCTCCACTTTTCGAAAGCAGGGAGTACATCGACCCCTCGGTGGCTGCATGATGCGTCGCACCTTGCGACGCAGCTGGCTGTCACGAGTCGGAGATCACATATCTTCATGAGACCACCACGATCTTTCAGGCGCGACGCCATGGAGAAGCGCTCCATCATCATGAGCGACGCTCGGATTTGGGATGGCTTGGGACCGGCATTTGGGTCTCCATCTCCGGCGCTCGCGGGCACGCTGCGCCTTCATTCGTCCAACGGTGCCGTCGGCATCGCTATACTATAACCAGTGCATTGGCTACGTTCGTAGCTACGAATTCTAGTCGTAATGCTGTGAAAACTCGTAGCGGGGATGCACTTGCTACTCGAATGCATACTAGATCATACTAGACTCATTCCGGCGACTCAACCGCGTCCCGCGTTGCCCGCCCCGGCCCCGGCCCCAGTCCACGGACCGCGCCTCCTCCGTCACGACGTCCGCCGGTCTGCGACTCCGGATCGCCGACCAGTCGCGAGCCCTCGGACGAGACCGCCCCCAGGTGGATGAGGAATATTCTCGAATGAAACTGGATCGGATGGCCCAAGCACCGCCCATCTTCCAGGACCTCCGGACTGGACGATGGTTGACTGGTTCGCCTTTCGTTCGTTCCGGGTCTTGGGTCTTGAGGTCATTCCGCACCGGTTCGCCGAAATCGTTCCGCCGCGTCTTGGGGTCGGATTGTTGGGGTCGGGTGTGTGGGCTCCAGCGTTTGTACCACAGTTCGGCGCTGAGGGTCTGACTGGCGGGTGAGTGAAAGTGGAGAAGGGAGGATCCAGGTGTTCGACGGACTGGAGGGTAGGTGGAAAAGATGCGAGCCTGGTGCTACAATCGTGGTAGATGCTTCATGATGGTACATATACTCAGCTGAAATGACAAAGGACTTAGTGAAAAGTGCCTCCAAATTTCTGCGGCTAAGTCATGAAGGTTTAGCCTACCCCCCCACAAGTATCTTCGTTTTTGTTTGAACTCATTTGATTTTTTTCCTTTTCGGGGGAGTATTACCTCATCTCTTAAGACTTGTCAAGGCTCCACAGATCACCCAAACATTGCAATATCTTGTATGTTTTCACCATGCCGGGTCACTGTGACCACAGAAATCTTCCAGGCAGGGAGTCTAGACCGAAGATCGGTGGAACTTCATCATTTCTCACCAATCTCAATAGCTTGTCTATCCCTATCGTCGATTGGCGTCAGGGATTGCCACCGCTGCGTTTGGATCTTCAGGATTTGCAATAGATAAATTGCCCTACACTACTAACAGCCTTTTAACAACAAGAATCTGAAAGATCTCCATCTGATTTTAAGATCCTTTTTAAGATGTTCCCTTTCAACAGTGGTTGCATGTGGGTAACATATGGTCTATTTCTTAGACCGGACTGGCATATTTACTGATCAGGCCAGGGGTGCTTGTGAGGGGTGGCAGTCGGACCAGTCCCATGGAGGAGGTTTCAGGGACCTCATCGATGGCGCCATCGATCTCCAGGAAGATGGCACCATCACCGCAGCCAACGCCTCGTCTCTGAACGACGGCGCCGCCGCGCTGGTCTTGATCAGTGAGCCGCGCGCCAGGGACCTGGGCATTACCGGTCTGGCACGACGCTTGGCGTGCAACGCGTGGGTGGAGGCGGGCGGAGCAGAACACGGCCATTTGTTCCGCGACAGGTCAATGAGTTTTTGGGAGGTCATACGAAAACACTACTCAAGGAGGTCAACGAAAAGGTCTTACTGGGGGTGAGGACGGTCAGGACTTGTAGGGTTCAGTATCATTCAATATCATCCCTTGCTTTGACGTGAAGTTGAAGTTTGTAGCTTTTGCTCGTGTGGATCGTTGGAGGTATCTTGATCGTTGGATGACATCCATAACCAGTGGGAATTTTATAATGGTTTATTCAGGTTTCTTGAGCACAGGCAGATGCACGAAGATGAGGCCGTCTTGCCGTCAATGTGAGCTTGTGCCATTTTCCCTTTAACAACTTTGGATTTCCTCCAGGACCTTCAATACCAAAAAATATCTCGCACACCCTCACACCCCCACCATCCACTAACTCTCCCTGGAACTGGAAGTGGATGGCACCCCTCTCTTGCTCTGAACCATGGTCCTCCGTGCCATGCCCGCAAATCCCACCCCAACGAAGGTTCCAAGAAGTGAAGGTCCGTCTCCTCACCGCGCTTCCGGGACCCTCCAGGTGGGCCTCCTCTACCCGCCCCCCCCACCCCCACCGCCGGCGCCCGCTGACCGGAGGCATTTGCGCCTTCGCGGACGCCGCGGTGGAGCCGCGGCACGTGGCCAAGGCACCGGCGGCGGCGATTGGATGCTCGGTGCGTGGTCGGTGGGTGGATGGCGGGAGGCCGAAAACGGGGCGAGGCCTGCCGGGGTCAGGAGATGTTAGCTATATCATGCATGTTTTTGGAGCTATAGCGGGACATTTGGGGGGGGACCGCAGTTCCATGAAATCACTTATTGAGCCATGCCCACCCGCCGCTTGCGTATGTGGCCAGTGTTGAGATTGGAAGCCGTGTAATTACCGATGCGTTACATTTTTTCGTTTAATACACAAACTGAATGAATCCAATTGTATTGCTCCGGCTGGTGCAACCTTGAAATTGCAAACGTCAGCCTCAGTGTGTTGGATGCTATTGTAAACTGGCAGCTCCTGTACATGAGGAGCTTGTGTTGAGGAGTGGACCGGGCAGATGAGGCGTCCAACGTGGGCGTGCACAGTGGGATTTTGTTCATGACATCACTGACCTTTGGGGACGGGTATGACTTCCAAAGACCCACTTCGGTCTCCGCGCTAAGGCCGTGAGTTCACTCTCCACTAAGGCCGTGCACTCTCCGCGGCGCGGATGAACACCGTGAACTTCTATGAGATCCACGAAACCTTCAGCGCGGCCGGGTCGACCTGCAGTTCCGGGACAGAGCTGAGCTTGAGACCAGTCTTGACTGCCTTGACCGGGATCCGGAATCGACCGTTATGAGGTTTTTTTTCATTGGGTGATAGCTTACATCCTGTCATTCACTGGTCTTTCTTGGGTTATTCACTCATAAACAAATGACGGATTTTTTGAATTGATGGATAGTTTTTACATTTTGGTTGTATATATTATCTGGATAAGGTCTCATTTATGATTTACCCTTGCTTTCATTGTCACATTTGTATGGTTACTTTTTTCATCTTTTTTCATTAGGTCTATTTTCATGACATTAAGATGATTTAAAATGACTCCAGAGATTTCATTCAGCAATTCATTATGATGAGGAGTCTCTCATTATTCATTCCTTTACTATATTCTATTTCGTAGGAGCTTTTTTATTTGAATTTGGGATCACTCGTTTTTATTTTCAGTGTTCATTCATGTTTTGTGTTGTTTTTTTTTTGTTTGGATTTATTAATGGTTTCTTTTTTCCACAGCATTGTCTGGATTCACCCGTTCATTAACTTTTCTATCTACTTTGGGATTCACTATTATTTTTTTTTTTACGTCCAAGCTATTATGACATAGATGACCATCAGAAATAGTTTTAATCCTAAATTTAATAGAACAATAAAAAATAAAGGACCGACGACCGACGAATCTGTAACTACACCTCTATTTTTGACCTTAACCTACAGCATTAATATACAAGGTCAACTCCTGATTAATAAACCGTCCCCCCCACATGGTAGGTCAACAAGGTCAAACAGATATGAGATACCAGTCATGATGTCCACCTCCCCTGAATAATGTGTTATGAGACCATAGGACCATGAGGGATGATACCAGGCTTTGAGGGGATGAGCTGATGAGCATGAGGCCAGAGTCCATATAGGAAGCAGGGAGTTCATCATAGTAGCAGTAGTAGTAGTAGTAGCCGCCGTAGTAGTAGCAGTAGTAGTAGTAGTAGTAGTAGGTAGTAGGTAGTAGGTAGTAGGTAGTAGGTAGTAGGTAGTAGTGGCAGTAGTAGTCGCAATTAGTTTAAACAAGCACAGGCAAAAGGCCAGGGACACAGGATCAAATTAATAGGGGGTAGTAGTGCAGATTATTGATGGGGGACCGGCCCTTGTGAGGGGTACCCTTTGTGAGCTTGTCAACTGATTGTTTTTTTATTGCTTTTTAGTATGGCAACTTATAGGCCCTGAGGCCTAGACATTTTTTTTATTTCATCAAAAAGTAGTAGGTGGTAGGTGGTGGCCGTCGTCGTCGTAGTAGTAGTAGCAGCAGCAGCAGAAGCAGAAGCAGTAGCTAGCAGCAGCAGGAGGAGGAGCAGCAGTGGTAGTAGTGGTAGTGGTGGTGGTGGTGGTGGTGGTGGTGGTAGTAGTAGTTGTAGTATTTCGAAAACTTGACCTGGCTGTGGGCTCGGATTAACTGGGGGGGGGGTTCTGGTACTCAACTAGACCATTAGGGCGGGGAATAAGCCACCAATACTACATTTTAATTTGTGCAATGTCCGGTGGTTTTGTGGGCTCGGATTAGTTATGGGAGGTTTATTGCTCGTGACTTTACATTATAAATGATGAAATCTCTGGCATTGTTTCCTATCCCTTCAATTCACTTGTGATCTTAAAAAAGGAATAATTCAAGAACATAAAGTAAACAATATATACTATAACTATAACTCCTCAGACGGTGATGTGTTCGACACTGTTATGCGAGTTTGGAGGCTCCAGTCGTACCGAACCTTCCCTATCTCTACAGGTTTATGTCTACATCTGCAGGGCTGCCCCTGTCAGTGTTCGCTCCCAAGGTTCCCAGAACTGAAGAGGTGTTTTCTTCCCATCAACCCCCTACACTCCGACGAACACATCACATGGAAGTGGAAAACCCTGTTTCTAGAGGAAAGTCGTCTTCCAAGCGGCCATGCCATCCACTTCCATGTGATGTGTTCGTCAGAGGGTAGGGGGTTGATGAATCAACAGTCTACAGATGTCTACATGACCTAAGTTATGTTCTAGTCGATGATGTTTTCAATGGTGAAATGCAGCGTGCACTGAGCCACTGGGCGTAGGACCGATCACACATGGAATGACCAAAGGTGGTTTTGCAGATGGTTGGAAGGTCACCCATATGCCAGTACTTGGATGTAGCGATGTAGCCAACGAGTGGTAGTGGTAGCTACAAACATCTACAAACCATATACACCTTTAGACAGGTCAGGATTTCTTGACAGATCTTGACTGAACCCGAAATCCAAAATAGGTTTTGATATCCGTTTTGGTGGTCAACACCCCGACCTTGGCAGCAAATCATGGTGGTCTTTCGCAGGTGGCTTTGGCCAACATGCAGCTCTTGGACTTGGATCCCTCGCCTGCCGGCTGAATGGCCGGGGTTGGAATGTCGCCGACTCGGGGAATGTCATGTCGGTGGTCGACCCGGATTTTCCTTACTGCAAAGAGTTGGATGAATGGGATACGTCTCGCTCTGCGAGAGTTGGCTCCCCTTGCCAAAAAGACCTGGACCTTCCGAGATCCACAAGAAGTGCAGGGTCTTCCAGCCAAGTGATCCCTTCTTTTTAAGGTGCTGGCATGTTCTAGGGCAACAGCAGGGTAAAATGATGCAGAAAAGGCACATCCATTAACCACAGGTCATCTTCCGGAGGAGGCAAAAGACGTCCGGTTTCCGTCTTTTTGGACGGACCGTCCGGGCCGTCCGGGGGCGGAAGAGGCTGAGGCTAGAGGCTGCCTCTTCGTCGCAGAGGCTGCGTGAGCCGAACAGACCAGAGCCGATGACATGTTTAAGATCCACTGGTCCAGGAGGGTCATCAGATCGAGCTCCTAAGAGCCCTTAACCCTAAAAACCCATACTTGTTGCGATCTTCAGAGGTTGGACCTTCCGAAATCGGGGTGCCCTGGAGATCCATGAGTAGTGGGCTGGGGCTTTCATTGGTGACTGCCTGGAAGGTGCTGGTACTCTTTTGGGGAGGGCCTCCTCAACAGACATGGAAAAGACATATAGCCATATAGCTTCAGTAAAGAACAAAGTAGGAACCCACAGAGAAGGCCATGCCCAAGGGCACTGGGCCTTTCCAGTCGTTCTTTTCCCGAGCAACCTCCAACAGGTTACTTCGGAGACTCTTTTTCGTCGCCCAACAGTGGCACATAATGACTTGTTGGACAGGGTGGCATTCCCATAGCTTTCTCCCCCCCCTCTCCCACAAATGAAAACCCTATAAGACCCTCGTTCTTTCTTTCTCTCTCTCTCTCTCTCCTTTGCTTTCTCGGCCGGGAATCCCATGTAAAATTCCATGCCCAGATGTGAGTGCAATTGGAAGCTCTTTATACGACAAGATGTTCATGTGTTCATGTGAGAACTGAGTGAACATATGAACACGCAATGTAGACATTTGATTAACAAATACCCGTTGGTCTCCATATATATATAGCATATATATATATATGTATCTCTCTCTCTCTCTCTGTGTGTGTGAAGAGGATTTCCAATTAAAACGGAGGGGGTACTACAGTAATCAAGAGTCTACATTATAAGGATTGATGATGGATTGATGGGCAATGGATTGATGTTGCAATGATTCGTTACCACCGTGCTGTGCACTCCGTGGGCATCGAGATACATCTCATTCGAGTTCTGTCCACCAACCCAGGCGGGTGAACGTCAACGGCGGCGCTGTGGCGCTGGGGCACCCCATTGGCGCCTCGGGTGCGCGCATCGTGGCCACCCTGCTGAGTGTCCTCACCCAGCAGGCCGGCATGAGGGGGAAAGAGAAGTGATTGTTTTCATGTTGTCACCTACCAGCACCTACCAGCAGGAGTGTCATTGGACCACCCTACACTCCATTGGGCACCCCTTTTTTTGGTCCAGGTCATTATATGTTTGGTCCAGGTCATTATATGTTGCATTATATGTTTACACGCGTCCTGGCACGTGTTGATCTGATCGGCATTCTCTTATATAAGAACCAGGGTGGTTCTTGAAATCGGTGTGCTTCAAAAGGGTGTCCAGTACACAACAGCAACGAAAACACTGCCCGACGCCAAGCACATGTCTCATTCCAAGCTTCCCACTGCACTGGTTTCCACGGCGGAGCCCGGTAGCCCGGTTCCCCCCCGGTTCCGGAGGACGCGACCACCGGTTGCGCGGCCATTGGCAACGTGGGCGGGGGAGCGACTGCCCTGGTGCTTGATCGTCGGTGAAAAGGGGCGAGTCGATGGATCGGTGCGGTGGGAGGCTTTGCGCAGCGCACGTGGAAACCCCAAACGGCGCAGAAAATGGTTCTTCCATGGTTCCTCCATCTTTTTTCAAAGGGTTATTCAAACGTGCGTCAGGAGCGGGTTCTACCATGTTCAGGAGTGTTCATCCCAAGTAAGTGGCTGGAACTTGGGAAAGATCCATTCATTTCTTCCTCCCTAAGAATCCGGACGGTCCGAACCCCTGCTATGGAGGGTCCGACCCCCATGGAGAGCCCAAGGATTCTTAGGCTGGGGAACTCCAGGAGCGGTGCCAAGCCTGGCCTGTCCGGGACTCGGTTGACTCGGTTTTGCTGGCGGACATGGAAGCGGAAAACCACGGGGGTTTGGGGAGGAAGTCGAGTTCATCGTGTCATAGGATGACCTTTCACATCCTTTTACTATTAGTGGCTTGATTAATTAAAGGTAGACACCCCCAAATGAACAATAGGTATATGGTACGCAATCGACCCCTCTGTTCCTTCCAGGATCCGAAAGGACATCACTGGTTGACAGTCAGCCTTGGCTGGTTGTTTTCAGGTTCCATGCTTTTCGGGTGTAATTAAGCTTTGCAATTTTGGGGGGGAGGTGGGTCAGATGTGGCACATGAGAAGGTTGAAAAGAAGTCACTCTTGGTGTAATGGTTTTGTAGGAGAAACTGAGCGCGTGAGGAGATGTGATTCCTAAGACTTCCCTAATGTGGAGACTCCGATGGTCAAATCTAGACACTGCCATGGAACAGGAATTGACCCGGTTGGAATTTCTGAAAGGCGGCGTTTTGGAGTTTTGGGCGTGCGACGAGCACGACAAAAAGCCGTCAGCCTTGGATTCGGGTTGGGGACTTCCGGTGGAGCGAGCAAGATTGGGAGGTTTTGGGCCCAGCAGATGTCTCAACCCCGCCCTTTGGGAATGACGGTGAAGAGCTTTTTGATCCGATCTCTTGATACCAGGGTCATCCTGTCTGGGTGTCCTGGCGTTCGACTACCCTACCTTACAGGCCGGTTTTTTGGGCAAACAGGAAGTGCTAGGTGGGTTTCTGAGTTCATCTCTTTTCCCATGAAGCGTGCGCGTCCAAGAGCTGTCCATTCAGTGTTAGGTCCGTGTCCCATTCAGTGGAGGATCAATCCCCTGTACTCGCCCCACACATCCCGGTCCGGAGCTCCCCACATGCCCCACACATCCCATCCGTACTCGCCCCAGATCAGTCCGGTCCGTGAAGCGCAGCGGGCTTCGGGCTTCATCACCCGCGTCGCCCGTGGGTCGGACGGGCTCCAGGGCGAGAAAGTCAGGTGGTCGTCCAGCACTGTGGTCACCAGCAGGACGATCCGTGGTGAGGTGCATGCACGGAGACTTCTATTGCAGTAGATGTCTCGGGTGTTCATGATGATGTTGGATGGTGGTCAATTACCTGGCTCCGTTTTCACGAAAGCTAGCATGCTAGCTGAGTTCTTCTTTGCTTTAGCAATGTTGTGGTGGGAGGGGCTGCGTGCCTTAAAGATTGATATATCAAGCTAACCCCCCCCCCCCCCCGCGGTTCAACTCCCAGCTGCGCCGTGTAGGGGGTTGGTTGAACGTGTGAACGTGGTTGGTTGGGTGTAACGGTGGCTTGGTGTAAAGGGTGCTGCTGCTGCTGCCGCTCTGCTGCTTGCTGCTGCTGTTTGCTGCTGCCGCTGGTTGCCGCTTTTGTAGCTGCTGCTTTGCTACTTGCTGCGGCTTGGTGCTGCTGCTGCTGTTGCTGACGACGCCGCTGCTACTGCTGCTTGCTGCTTGCTGCTGCTGCTTGCTGCTTGCTGCCGGTGGTGCTGCTGCTGCTGCGGCTGGATGCTGCGCTGCTGCTGCGTGGTGCTGCTGGCTGGCTGCTGGTTGGTGGTTGCTGCTGGCTGCTGGCTGCAGGCGGCTGCTGCTGCTGCTGCTGGCTGCTGCTTGCTGCATAGGACTTGTACTTCACCGTTACAAGTTGTTTACCCCTATTTCTAACCTAATGCATGCATAAGCGGGTGGTAAATTTACCCCCCAGGCTTGCTATAACCATACACCGGCTATTTCCTCAAGACACTCTATTCTTGATACCTTTTACCAGCGCTTATCCTACACTACGGACGCCCTAGTGTATGCACAGTCCTTGTGATGCTTACCCCTCGTTCCGGCTCAAGGCATACATAAGCGGGGTGTAAATTTACCCCCCCAGATTTGCCATAACCATAAGCCGGCTATTTCCTCAAGACACTCTACTCCATATACCTTTTACCCGTGCTTCTCCTACACTACGGACGCCCTAGTGTATGTACAGTCCGTATGATGTCAGAAATGCTTACCCCTCTTTCATACAAAAGCGGAGGGTAAATTTACTGCCCAGATTTGCCGATCACGCATCTTCGTGCCTGCCAACGAGTGCACCCGGGTTGTTCCAATGTACCCTTCCCAGTCAGCGATGTCACATTTACATTCTTTAGCGCAAAGTATGTACATAGCAACCTTCCTCCCAAAACATGTCATCTCTACATGCTTTGCCGACTATGTAACTAGTACATCCGGTGCGATTCGGCTAGCTTTCGACCTCTCCCCCTGGCCTCAAGTTTTTTGAAGGGAAACAACCACAGGCAAATCATGGAACATTCAGCTTTGACTGGGGCTCAGCAAGCGACAAGGGATGTCAACGAGGGGTCAACAAGGGTGTCCCGGTTTAGTTTTGATTCAACGTATTCTGCACCCAGGCACAGCCAACAGCTTTCCACCCAGCCGTTGATGTTACCCCGCATGAGGAGAGGTGTGTTGTTTCCATCTCACCAGGCACACCGGGTGACACGAACCTCCATAGATCGTCATCTCCACTGCATGGGCCGCCGGATTGGCGCGCCGGAGCCCGCGGATTGGCCATGTTCACTTCCCGCGCTTTGGCTACGAGGCGCCCTGGACTCGGCCCCTTGGGGACTTGGGAGCGGGCGCGAGCTGCACAAGGACCCTGGAAGAGGACCCTGGGAAAAACCTGCCGAGCTCGAGGTATTTTTAACGTGAACTTCGGAGTCCCTGACAGATCAACGGCGGTTTTCCAGTTCAGGCTTTGTGGGAAGACGCATGGCTTTTGGTTTTGGGCTGCAGATGGCTGCAGTCCACATTCGAGGGAGAGCACTTAAGTGGCAGATTGCCACCGCCAAGTATCACTTGTACCACCCATGACCATCCAGAACCCACCACAACAAAGATCAACAAAGTATATTTTTACTACCTTCCAAGGGTTTCACCCATGGACTATTGTACATGATGCTCTTAAGACCCGGAATCTCTATGTAGGACATGCACGATGGAAGAACATGTTCCTCAACTTAACCAGACAAAAGAATATAAGTATTTTGATACCAGACCTTTCTTTCGGGGTCACCAATGAAAGCCCCTACATGCCCCAGCCCACTACTTATGGAATCTTATCGATCTCCAGCCAGGGCACCTTCTGGAAGGTCCAAGTAGGTGAGCGCGTGGGGTTTCGCTTCGAAACCTGCGACACCTCACCGCACGCCCTTCAACCACCCAATATAGGTCTAGCGCTCGTCCTCGTGTCCTCCACGCACCGGTGGGGGTCCGTCGACCGGAGGCAGCTGTTGATGGCCTCGGCGGGTACTGACGTTGGCAAGTTGGGGGGCGCCATCTGCGCCAGGCGCGGGCGCATGCGAGCAGCGTGTCCAGCTCGGGCGGTGGGAAGAGCGGATCTTTCACTGGCGGAGACGGGGTGTTCGTTGGTTTTGCCCCGGTCTTGGGGCCTCAGAAAGAATGGATTGGGCTTCACTTCAATGGCTTTCGTGAGTTGGTTTGTCCCTTTTTTGGGGAGGGGGCTTTGAGCTTTCAAACTCGATATCCCCTTCTTAGATCTTCTTAGAAGTTGCATATCAATATCAAGATGCATTTTTTTCTCCAAGATCTCCTCGCCCAGCCCAGCTCGGGTCTCTGGTTTCTCCTCACAGCTGCGCCAGGCTTCGCCAGGAGGGCCAGGCAGAGGTCCAGGCGATGGGGCCCGCGGCGCTCCAACGGGCGCTCAGAGGGTTGCTACGCTGCCGCTACTGGCTGCAGCAGGCGGATGGTGGTGGATGGATTGCGGAGCAGCCGTGTGGTGGAGGGTTTGGAGAGACCCCGGGAGGGGGACACGCCGCGGAAAGAGAGATGGCATGCACGAGGTGTCAGTCATACAATGTCATATGAATTGAAGGGTGGTGACCAGGTCACATGCTGTCACATATGCGCCACCCGTTCCTGAACTCGGCGCGGCGCCGCTAGGTGTCAGGATGTTCGAAATCAGCAGTAATTAGCTCCAGGTCCTCACCTTTCAAAGGGGATTCCCTTGACGATCCCTATGAATCTGGTTGATCCCCACGGATTCATCCTGCCAAGTCGCACGGTCGACCCACACCGCCCCCGGACCTTCCGACCGGACCCACGGAACCGCAGGAACGTCCGGGCCACGAGACGTACCTCTCAGTGGACCGGAAGGGCGGGGTGGCGTCTCGTGGGAATGGAGATCAGTGGGGTTTTTGGGGTTCCCCCCGTCGGCCGATTCCAGGCATGTGGAGTCATAGTCCATTCATGGAAGATCATGGAAGATATGCCTCCATAATCTGCACAAATATAATATGCCTGCATATATGCCTACATACTGGACCTTCAAGGGGTGTGCTGGGGCTTCCAGCCAGGTGACCCCTTTGAAGGTGCTGGCACGTTGACGCTCAAAGCATCATATGATATGAGTATGAGGTGGCAGGGTATTTGAACGCTCTCATTGACCAACCGGGAGGGCTCACCATCGCAGACACTCCGTGGGACAGGAATCGATTTATATATATATTTGGAAACTCCGGCCGTTTGGCCAAACACCTGGACTTCCTAGTCCCACCCAAGCGGCCGCCCTTTTGTGACTCTCCTCGAGCCGAAGGGTTGCCTGTCTGCTACGAATGCTTGCCGTGCTCGAATGCTCTGCCATGCTCGTGACACTGCTTAAACACTCCTATAATACTCTTACGAACGAAGCAAAAAGGCACAAAATCATCCGGATCTTGTACTGCAATGTCTGGATGGCCTCAACTGAACTGCCTACTTTCGCTGTCGCTGCTCCGAACTGCCAGGAAAGCTTTGGTCTTCTTTGGCATTGATGTGCTGGGCGAATCCTACCGCTTTGAGGTAGTTGGCTAGGTCCTCCAGCCTACCTCCGCGATTCTGGCCATGTTGAAAGACCCACAACAAATACCCTTCCAAACCTGGCTTGTCCAGCATCTCGGAATACGAGTAGCCCTGTTTGGCGACTCGTGGCAACTTGCATACCGTTCGGCCCCAGTCTGTCAAATCCACGACTCCCGGGGGAAGTGGAACTCCTCCAGGCATGCTGTTTGCTGCTGGTGTCAAAGGCAGCTGATCCGACTTCTTGGTGGCATTCAAACGTTCTTCTGACAAGGACGAAGAGGGTTCAGCGTAAGCCACACGCTCCCACTCTTCTTCGGTCTGATGGCTTTCTCTCAAACGCTTGCTGCCGTCAGTCATCGCACCATAGCCTGACGAACGACCGCCCTTCGGGGCAATGCCATGTTCACTTGCCCGAGCTAAAATAGCTCTGGCGGCTGACACTTCTTCTGGCGTCACTGGTGACTGTTCACGGGACATGTCTCTGGTCCTCACAGAAAATCACTCTGTCGTGACAAGCGTCGAGCCTGAAAATTGCTGCTTTCATCTTACAAATCACAAAACTGCCGGAAACAAAATGTTTGTGATCTAAACAAACCAGCCTGACTTGGGTTTGGTGGAGGCACAAGGCAAAAGCAACCGACAAAATGAAAACTGATGCATTCAAGCTTAAAGACATTTCCTTCGGAAGAATCGACTGCTGAAATGCACAAAGACAAAAAACTGCAACGGGAACTGAATTTGCTCATGTTCTAATGTAAGAGACTCAGTCCTCAGTAACCCTCCTACTGGAAAGACTGGAAGGCTCTTCCAACTCACAAGCTCTTCTAATGCAAAACTTACAAGAAAACAACAGAGTTTCATGAACGAGAAAATATCATTTCGAGTTCTGCTCAGCTCTCTTCTGCGCAATCTCCCGTCTTCTGTCTTTCTCAGCTCTTCTGCGATCAAGCATGATCTGTTCATCCGCCAATTGATAGCGGGCACTGCGGAGAACTGCGCGTAACAGGTCAACTGGCTCTGCACGGTCTTTGGTGAATGCGTCTGCTACCATATAATTTGTGGGACACCACCTAGGTTCCAAGGTGCACCTTTTTAGAGACTGCCTGATGATGGCAATGTCTATTGCTGTCCTTTTATCATCCACGGTGCCCCCACTGCCTAAGGATGTTAAATGGTCGTACAATGACCGGCAGTCTGTCATGCCTATTGGAGACCTTCTTTGGAGGATTTCCTCAGCTTCTTCTAATATGACGGGACCATCTAGACACTCGGCCATCATCAACAACATCCACTCGCAAGCCCCTGTTGCAGTCGAATAGGCCTGTGCTTCACCGCCCATCGTTGACGCTACCACGCGAGGCAAACGGTAAGACTTCCAAGCAAAGCAATGGACCGGCACATCTTCACCTTGCCTCATCTTGTTTGAGGTGAAAGCAAGTAGCCATCCTGCTTGTGTCTTGTGTTCCGTCGTGTTGGCAAAAGCAGCATCTGACCAAAAGCAAAGAGTCAGCTCTTTCAAAGGAATGAAAGGAACCTGAATGCACAAGTCAGATTGTTGTCGTGCCCGCCTCACTGCTTGGTTTGCTTGAATCAGGTCTGACACCTTTGGCTGTGGGAAGCATTGCTGGCTCAGTGACGTCTGTACAGCCAGGTCTGGACGAGACTGGGTGCTTACCCAGCTCAGTGCTCCGTTCACAGCTCGAAGTGCCGACACCTCCTGAGGGGTTGCTGGAAGCCATGGTTTCCTGCTTCTTTCTTTCGTGATCTTAATAGGTGTGATGTGTTCTGCATACTCCTTTTGTTGGAAACTTATCTCCAAGGTCGTTTGGTCTTGAGTATATATGGTGCCTAAGAACTCACCTGTACCCGATCGCCATTTTCTGAAAGGAAACCTGCTTCTCAACTTTGCAACTGCTGCTTCATATCTAGGTCCGCATCCCCCAGTGATGGTGTCATCAACATGTGCTCCTAGAATTCCTTGTAGCTCGTGGTCTTCTCCGTAACACAGATACAAACAGCTATCGAACTTGCTCCGAACAAAACCTGCCTCTAGTGCAACTCGGTCAAACTCACAGTACCACTCATGCGGGGCATCGTTCGCCCCGTATATGTTTCCCAAGATTTGAACTAAGGATCCTACGTCAACTCCCGGCACGCCCCCCGGTGGCAACTCAGCGTATACCGGATTGGCAATGGCCTTCTGTCTGACATCGGCCTCTAGGAATGCTCCCTTTATATCTCCTAGATGCATCTTCCACCGATTGCTCACCAACATCTGGAGGATCAGGCTGCGGCCGAATTGAGACAACGTCGGTGAGTGACACTTGCCAGCCAAAACCTTGGTAAACAAATCAGGATCATGGTGTCCTCTCAGACACCAGCGGGCTTTGATCTTTGAATCACCATCTTCATGCTTTTCAACGATCACAAACCGACTTGTCATGATCCGATCCGGTCTGGTTGAACGGATTCGAGCTGCATCTCTTGGCATGATGACCTTCAAAGCCTGTTTCTCGTCTCGCAACGTGGTCCACTCTGTGGTCTTGGCAATGTCGACCTTTTCTTGAAGTTCCGATGGGTTGTGTGAATGATGAAGTTCTTTCTGCATCTTTTTCTGCAAGAAACTAGCAATTAACACTTCGACACTTGCGGCTGGACCATGTTCTGCAACGAGTTCGGTAAACAAGCATGACTCGATGTCATCGGTCTTTTGGCTCTTGCTCGGCTCACTGTGTGCTCCCTCTGGTGAATGACTTCTCTTGACCCCATGGGATTCTTGAATCATGTCTTTCATATCGTCCCAGTGAACCTCAGGTGGTCTCAACAGAAAGGTGGGAGGACTCTTGAAATGTTGACGAACTCTAACCGGTCCATACCCGTCTGGTTGACTAGGGGGTTCACTCCCGGTCCTTGCATAGGGTTCCTCTCGAGCACCAGTGATGACAGTACCTGTTTCGGTTTGCGTCTGTGGGTCTTGTGCAAGGGTGTTCTCTCTGGATGGCTCATCTGGCATTGGGACATCAGTGGACCGAGTTCCTACCGCCGAAGAACTAGGCTCGCCTCTCTTTGGACGCATCCGGAACTGACTCTCTCCCTTCCATGGAAGTTCCCCCCATGTCATGTTCTGGCATGATGCATCGGACAAAGGTTGATGCACGACCACTTCATTTGTATCTGATCGAATGGTCTTGCGCCAGTTTTCTAACGATATACCCTGGAGAGCAGGGTCATTTGGTGAAGGCCAAAAGGTTGTCGTGCGGGGTTGACGATGAATGCGACACAAATGATCACCTCTGATCAGCCACACATCTTCCAAAGACTTCACCGAATGGCTCTGACTCGGAGTGGGTGTGTTCACTAGATCCGTGAACTGGGAACCAATTTCCTTCCGATCAGGGTTGTTCAGGAGTGAACTCAGTCCCAACATCTCGCGTCCGTCAGCTTGCGCTAGAACCCTTTCCTCTTCTGAGGCATGTCTCAGATGCTCTGGTGCCACTTTGAAGATGTTCTTCCTATGAAAGATCAAGAAGTTGCGTCCTACTTTTCCCATAACAATTGCAACACCGTACCATCTACCCCCTACAATGCGTATGCCCTTCTGGTATTTCTGCGTCCTCCAGTAGGCAACTAGATCTCCCGGAAGGAACTCTCTTTCAACCCTGGGTCTGGCATTTAGGGCGGTACGAAGGCTTGCATCATCTTGAGACATCACCAAAGAGACTCTGGCCTGGGCCCTGATTGCACGTGCTCGCTCTGCAGCTTCGTCGTGCAGGGGTGTGGTGGCTGCTACCGGACACGGAAATTCTTGCATCAAGTCACTCGGGATCCTAGGGTTTCTACCAAAAACAAGTTGACACGGTGACAAACCTTTCTGGTTGATCAATTCATTCTTTGCATTACCGGTCTGTGTCACACATTGCTCGTATTCTTCTCTTGTTCTTGGTTGTACCTGGTCCAAAACCTTTTGCAAAATGACTTCGAAAAGGTGTCCGTGCTTTTCCACCTTTCCCAACTGATTGTGCGCTTCTGCCGCGATGGTCACGACCCGAGTTCCGTCCTGCTCCAACTGATCGAACACACCTTCTGCAGTATTCGTTTTTGCAGGGTCAACGATTACCTCTACTGGGACACCTGCCCATCTTTGCCATGCCTCAAGGAATATTTTCTTCAAGACCTCTGCTGTTTCACGTTCGAAAAAGGGAACGACAATCTGGAAACTGGTGGCATAGTCTACTATGTTCAAGGCTTTCACCTGCTGGTTCACCTGCCAACCTGGTAGTATCTTGACGTCCCAACCGATGCGGTGATTGAAATCTTGAAATTTCTCTGGGCTAGCGGGCAAACACGGTGTCGGTCGCTGTCTCTGCTGGCAAATATCGCACGAGGATTCAACTTGGCCTGCGGCTTTCAAGGCCTCTTCCGATGCCCCGGCATTCTTCAAGATGCGTTCTAGTGTTCGGGTTGATGGGTGTCCTAGGTTGTTATGCAGTTTCCTAACTAGCTGCTCCACCTTTTGGACTTCGGAAGCGGCACACACCTCAGCCACTACCTCACGGCTCACATGTTCGGTCGTCTGAGAATGGTCCTGCAAGCATGCAAAATGACACAAACTCCACTGTGGTCGAACACACTTGAGCCATGTTGTCACGAAATTGTCTGTATATTCTGCTGCCCTACAACTGCGAGTTCTACCGTCTCTAGTGTGTCCCTCAATCAACTGGTGTCTCTCATGTCCTGGGCAAGTCAAGCTCAGCGAAGCCATGTCGTCATGAGAAACGGCTAGTCCGGTTGGCTTCTTCATAGCTTGGCCTGAATCTGAGTCGGCCAACTCATATGCACACATGTCGGCTCTGTGCAAGGACAAGCTGCCGTCACTCAACAACTGCTTCACTGGTGGATACTTCCAAAGGTCGCTCGACCACGGATGTTCCACAAGCACTCGACCACCTCGTTTCAGCTGCTTCCGAATCTGCCAGACACAAAAATCTGCTTGTGCCTTTGCTTTGCGTTGATTGAGCAGCTGTTGCACGACTGGAATGCTATGTCGGTTGAGGCGATACCAACCGCCCCAGTGTTTGCACTCCGGACAGCACACAAGGAGTTCTGGTCGTTCTTCTTCCAACTGCTGGTCCACCTGTTTCTGAATGGCCTTGTCGGTCAGATCCCAGCCTTGCTGAATGTCGTAGGCCAGACCTCGCTCTCCCTTCTTCTCCACCTGCATAGTGAATCGCGGTGGGGAAAACAACTCGGCCACAGTGCAGGTGCTCTGGCTTGTCTTCCACTTGGAATGCTGTGCCAACATACATCTCTGCTCTCTCACTGTCATCTGGCGTTCACAACCGTTCCAGTGCATTGACGTGTCTGAATCATCGGAAGTCTCCGATGTGTCGCACACTAGCACCTCCTCTGGCTCCACGTCCAACATGTTGAGGACAAATTGTCCGGCAGAGTTGATCTGGAGGGGCCTCGATGCAGCTCCTCCAAATGACACCGTCTCATGGGCAAAATCAATGACCGCCTTCAGTGAACGCAAAGTGTTGCGACTCAACAGGAGCGGTGCCGCACCCTTGATGATGGCCGCCTCGATTCGACTGGCCTTGCCATGGATGAACACGGGCATGGAAACCACTCGCTCTGACACTTCCTCCTGACCATTTCCAAAACGGAAAACATTCTGCTGTGGTTTTGTCGATGGTGTTGGAATCTTGCGGTCATGGTACATGCGCAGAAACTGATTCAAAGTCTCTTGTCCGATCAACGTCCTGCTGCAGCCAGAATCCAGGATTCCGTATCCTGGTGATGAGACCAAAAACACCTCTTCTGCCATCGCTGCACCGTGAGTCTTGTCTGTGTTGCTGGTGCTGGCACTGGACTTCTGTGGACAGTTGCGTGCCCAGTGTCCAATTTGATTGCACTTGCGACAGCGAGATCGTTTCTGCAAATCTGACAGCTCGCGACTGAATTGCTTCTTGACTGCAGAGGCTTGTCCAAAGCGCCTGGTTTTCTGCAGGCGAGCAATCTCTGTTCGTCGCTCTTTCCAGGTGGCAGCTAGTACCTCAGCAATCTCACCCTCGTCGAAGACATCATCACTGCCAGTTCCGTCCTGCAGACCATGTTCGGCCAGAAAGGCCTCGACTTCGTCGAACACCACGGCGTCTGGTCCATCGCGGTCTGATGGTGCACCTGATTCATGCTCGCCCTCATCTGGTTCGTCAGGTTGTACCAGAAAGGCGGGAACAGCCCTAGCCGTCTTCTTTGCCTTGAACTCTGGAAAACAACTCCTCATCGCAGCCACCACCGCCTCGAAATTCAAATCCCCTTGGGTCTTGGCAGTGACTATGGCTCGCTGGTCTGGTGACAAACCGGAGGCGTTCAAGCAAATCCATCCTCTGGCAGGGGATGGAAACTCTACTGACACTTTTCTGCGGCACTTCGAGAACGTTTCTTGGACACGGGAGGTCCATGCAGCCATCGTCTCGCCATCCTTTGCGGCCAGCTCGAATACTTCCTTCAAACATTCTGCTAACCAGTCGTGAGAAAGACGATCAGGAAAACGCTCTTCTAAGGCTGCCCAGATGTGTTTGTCTCCGTCTTCTTCTTTCAACTTCTCCAATGTGAGGTGTTCGCAAGCTTCCAGCGCAAGTCCGTCCAGCAAACAAAACACAAAGGGTCCCCTGTGTTGCTTGGCCATGTCTTTGGTCGACGCCATACGGGCTTCGGCCCATAACCTCCATCGTCTGAGCTCTCTCGGATCCAGACTTTCACCGCTGAACCTTCTGTTGTTACCCCCAAAGGACTCATTGGATGCCATGGCTCATGTGACACTGCTTAGTGCCCCAAACCTACCTAGGTCTGTACACTCTACCCCGGATGCCCCTCCCTGACAGCAGGGAGGGGCTCCGCTACCAATTTGGAAACTCCGGCCGTTTGGCCAAACACCTGGACTTCCTAGTCCCACCCAAGCGGCCGCCCTTTTGTGACTCTCCTCGAGCCGAAGGGTTGCCTGTCTGCTACGAATGCTTGCCGTGCTCGAATGCTCTGCCATGCTCGTGACACTGCTTAAACATATATATATATATATATGCCTACATTGACCTTGACCACGTCCAAATGTAGGTGAACACGTCGAACTTGGAGTCCTTGGGATATTTATACATATAGAGCCTGAGTGACCTCTATTTTGCACCAGCAACCACCCAAAATATTGCCATTTCTTGCCAAAACAGGGGTCAAATGGGCCTCAAGCATATACAAAAAGACACACACGCACACACACACACACTCATATATATATATACACATGTGTGTGTGTGTGGAATCCAGCCGACAACAAGAAGATGACGCGTTTGCGAGTAAATCAACTCGGGTCACGTGAAAGCTTGTCCAGTTGATAGCCGTTTCATGTTTTGAGTTTTCAATGATTGGTTTCGCTAACATTTGTTTTGAGACCCCACTGACGGGGTTCAAATGCAGTAAGCTTTCGATGTATTTGTTGACAGCCGTGCCATGCATAGCATAGGTGGTCTTGAGGCGAGAAGGAGGTAATGCTGGTGATGCGTTTGAAGTCAACTAGCTTTATTTGCACTGAACATGGTCTAACTTTCCAGGTGAATGATGAATGATGCATGATGACTGTGCGTGTCATTTCTGTGTTTTTGTTTGGTAAGTCTTGCCACCGTTTTTAAGCTTCGCGGATGTGCCGCTTCTGTTCGCCGGTCGGCCACATGGTCTCATGGTCACAGTTCCTGAACGGGTGGATGAAGGAAACTCATGGAAATGTCCTACTACTGCCGATGTTTGGCCTGGCAGTCCGGATTTGCGAATCCAACACCCGCAGTTGAATTTAAATATGATTAAGTGACTTAAAAAGGGAGCACTATGCCTTCACAGTTAACTTAAGTCCCTTTTAAGTACAGTATATATACTGTATAGATATATAAATGTTTTTCCATGTTTCTTAAGCAAATGCAAGTGAAGCCAGTGGCTTTGAGTGTGCAGTCATGTAAGCACATCATCAAGGTGAGGACACCTGCCCGATTCGCAGTCTAACTTCGATGAAAGTCTTTTTGTTGGCCTGCACGCCGCATTTCTTTGTAGATTGGTTTGCTTAGGGTGCATCCATCACCAGTAGCAGTCGGTAAAAAATGAGCTATATCATTTGGGGAAGTAATCATTCACTGTTGCTGGTCATGGGATATATCCAAGGATTGCTGGAAAGCGGGCACAACCTCCAAAAGCCATTCGTGAATGAGAAATTCGGACCATGTGTGTGACAGGCAGTCATTGCCGACTGCTCAGTGGCAGGCCCTGAGTTAGAGGGTTTGTTAACAACACGAGATCTTGCTTAAAAAAGTTCAGGTTTTTGTCCGTTTCACCAGCAGTCTTTGATGATCGTCTTTCAGTGGCCCCCACTTGATGGCCGGTGGTATCATAGGTCAGCTTGCACTGACTCCATCTATTAGTCACTATAGTCCATGAACAGCCCAGACAACGACACCAGGTAGTAGGAAACCCACCCTGCCAGGACCAGGAGTAGGAAACCCACGTGCCCACATGCTCTCTCAAAGGAAAGGACACCCAGTAGGCCCCAGATGCCTGCCTGCCACAGGAGGCGATCCACCATGAAGCCGGCAGCAAGGCCGAGCAGGCCACACGCGGCGCGGGAGGACCGAAGTGGATGCTTGAAAGAGATCCTGTTCCATGGTCTTTTTCGCATGTCATTGATTCGTTGGGTCCGAGGGCACGGGTGAGGTTTAAGGAAAGAGTTCGCGCGGGCCAAGAGCTTGTGGTCCATGCAGCTTCGGATGCATTTGATAAAGTTGGAACACGAAGCTACGTACAGCTTGCTGTTGTACTGTAGCGTCAGAGTTCGAGTTGCGTGGTGTTGCCGAGTTGTAGAGTTTGTTTTGCCGGTGCATTCTGACCATTATAAGTAAACTTTAGATTTGTCAATCACTTGCAGGATTTGCAGGGACTATCAAGACGGCAAGAACATGTTCAAGCCCCTGACATTGGTATTTATAGGGGTGAATTCTCATGTAGTCTCACCAAAAGCCACCCCAGGCACCACGAAGAAGAAACAACACCAGACCTCTCCAACTCCCCCCCTCCAAAACGAAACCCTCGCTTTTTGGACCCCCAAAAAGGCCATGGGCGAGCTGCGCTTGGCCGTGCTGTTGCGCCCGCGGGTGGTCTCGGCAGCCTCTGAGGACGGTGGGTGGTGAGAAGAGCGCCGTCCAGAAAACGATCCCAATGTAGACAAAGAATCCCGAGCACCCAAATGCAAGAATCACTACCCCCATTAAGAACACTAGGCGGTATACGGGGGAGGACCCCGTATACAAAAAAACACTCCATTAAATCTATATATGATGATGAATTACACACACATATATATAATTTCAATATATGCCTAACATACCCAGACGTTCTCTTTGCGTCCTGAAGTCCATTTAGAAGCAGATCTCCATCTCAACCTACTTGCCATGGAAGATCTTGTGCCAGTATTCAGGCACAAACGCACAAACTGAGCCGGGCCAGTTTTTCGACATCAGGAGCTGCAGTCACTCTTCAAGGAAATGAAAGAAGCAGCTTGCCGGGTCAATGGCACATTGAAGAAGCACCCGGGAAGAGCACACGACCTGCAAGGCAGAATACTGTCCTCTCCAACCCAGTGGTTTTTAGGTTCCATTTAATCTTCCAGGGCGTAATTGAATAGGCATGACTCAAATCATGAACATAGAGCGACTTAGTGGCAAGCATTGTAGCGCAGCCATGGCGACAAGAATCTCTGCAATGCTCGTGAATGGGGAAAAGATGTACCTCAAAGTCATGCCAGAGATGACGGGTAGGCAGCTCAAGCAACAGATCAAAGAGACGCAGTTTTTGGATGAAATGACTCGGCAGACTACTGTGGTGGAGATTGTTGTTGGAGACAAACTGCTGGGCAATGACGAGAAAGTTGCCAATGCGGGGTTGACGGAATCGCACGTCACCGTTGTTTTCAAGCCAAACACCGTGAGATGCTCCACCAAAGGTGCAATCACCAGCTTTAGCAGTGAAACTGACTTGGATCTTTTGCTTGTCATTGCCATTCCAGATGATGAAACACAAATTTCTGACAGAGCGTTTGAAGACTGCCAACCGCGATTGGCCCGATTGAACATCCCAGATTCAGTGACCCGTATTGGGAATCGAGCCTTTTGTAATTGCGTCTCTTTGGCGAGCTTGACCATCCCAGACTCAGTGACCCACATTGGGTATTCTGCCTTTGAGGGTTGCAGCTCTTTGGTTAACTTAACAATTCCAGTCTCGGTGACTCACATTGAGAATGGTGCCTTTTCCCGCTGCACATCATTGGAAGAGTTGACCATCCCAAACTCCGTGACACACATTGAGAGTTGTGCCTTCCAAAGCTGCAATTCCTTGGCAAACTTGAACATCCCCAACTCAGTGACCCACATCGGGAGTGGTGCCTTTGAGGATTGCATCTCTTTGGAGAGGTTGACCATCCCAGAATCGGTGACCGTTATTGGGGATTCTGCCTTTGAGTGCTGCAGCGCTGTGGTTGACCTGACGATTCCAGGCTCGGTGACTCACATTGGGGATAGAGCCTTTGAGCGTTGCAGGTCTTTGGCCAGTTTGACCCTTCCCAACTCAGTGATCTACATTGGGTATCGGGCCTTCATGGGTTGCAGCTCTTTGGCAAACTTGACCATCCCAGACTCCCTGACTCAGATTGCGGATGCAGCCTTTGCAAACTGCAGCTCTTTGCAGAACTTGAGCATGTCAAATTCATTGATCCAAATTGCGGATGGTGCTTTCGAGAATTGCAGTTCTTTAAAGACCTTGATCATCCCAAACTCAGTGACCCACATTGGGGACAATGCCTTTGAGGGTTGCACAGCCCTGGCAAGCTTGACTATTCCAAAGTCAGTGACGCACATTGGGCACAATGCTTTTGAGGGTTGCCATTTGTTGACAAGAAACACCAACCCTCGTGGAGAGAGTGCGAGGTTTGCGCGGACGGAATCTCAAGTGAACACATTTCCAGGCTGCAGCATTGTATAGTTTCATTTGTGGCGGCTGTTTCGAAAATCTGTCGCTGGCGCCCCTCAGCCGCCAATCCAAGCTTTCCAGCAACTGCAGCGTTTCTATTCTGCAGGTGCAGCGGCGCAGCTGGAAACGGTCGCAGTTCTCAACAGAGAGCTCTTGCTTTGATCGCTTGACCTCAACGATCCAATAATGGCCGGAAAGGGGCGCGGGTTTTTTGGGGGGGGCAGAGCTCTTGATTGAAAGCTCTTGGCTTTTGTAGCTCTTATATATCTGGAGGATTGGGGTCAGGTTTGGTGTTTGGAGGAAGCTCAGATGGTGTGGCATATGTCACTGGAACAGGGAAATTCTTTAACCACTTGCTAGATGGCCAGATTCTGGTTTTTGCATGTGCATTTATCCAGGGTGCCTTCAGACTCAGACATTTTGGAATCGGAGGGTAGAACTACCATGGGCATTGGGGCATGCCTCTGAGCTGACGGAAAACATAGAGCAGCAGCATATGTCATATGCCATCAACGTCAGGAAAACAGCTTCGCCTGGCAATTTGTAAGAGAAATGAATATCAAAACAGCACCCGCCATCACACGTCCTAGAAGCCATGGCTGTAAGAGTATCAGCACGGCGGGTCGAGGGTGATGTATTTCGAGTCTGCACACCAGAGATGACAGGTAGAGATCTAAAGCAGTGGATCAAAGAAGCACTGCTTGGGGGACAAGATTGCTCACAAAGTGCCGTCGTGGAAATTGTTGTTGGAGATCGACTACGGGGCTATGAAGAAAAAGCCGAGGATGTGGGGCCAGCAGATTTGGCTGTGAGTGTAGTCTTCAAACCAAACTCCGTTTGACATGCTCTAACAAGAGTGCAATTGGCAGCTTAACTTTGGCAGTGAAATTGACTTGGAGCTTGACAATCCCAGACTCAGTGGCCCACTGTGGGGGTCATGACGGTCTTTAAAGGATTGCAGTGCTTTGGCAAGCTTGACCATGCGAAACTCTGTGACCCACATTGGGACTAGTGCCTTTGCAACTTACACTTCCTTATTGGTGGACTTGCAACCCACCTTGGGGCCAGTGCCTTTGGGAATTGCAGCTCGATGGTGAACTAAGGAGATTCAGAGACTATTTCCCCATCTGTCAGGTGAGGGTTGTTAGATTTTATGTCAGTCAGCATTCCGGCTCGCCCGGCTCGCCCGCCTCCGCCTCGCCTCAACCGCGAGGGCCGCGGCGGCAGTGTTCCCCGCCAGACTTCAAGTGCCAGCTCCCGACCGTACCTGGGCACTGCCGGACCTCAACCAACACATAACCACAAACACATCCACAAAGACACAAGCACAAACACACAACCATAAACCCAAACACACAATCACAAACACACAACCATAAGCACACAACCACAAACACAGCCACAAACACAATCACAACCGCAACCACAGCACACAACCCGAGGACCCACAAACAAAATCGAGAACCACAATACTCACGACCATGGCAACATGCTGCTCACCATGGCATGAAGACAAATGATTGAATTGTCATGGTGGGGGGTCACTTGAAGTAAAGTAATTCTATAAAAAAAAACTTGTTCCAACATCTTAGACTTAGTGAATATCAGATATCGTATCATCTTCATGTCTGTCGTGGGCACCGGGAATCCCATAGCTTGTGTAAGTGCAACAACTCCAACAACCCTATCATCCTTGAATGTGACTGATGGTGCTTCCTAGGGATTGGCTTGGTGCACTTGGGCCGTTGTTGGTTGAGATGACCTTTGGAATTGGTGTTGCGACATGCTGACCAGATAGTTGACGCATCAAACCAGACAGCTGTCGAAGTGAACTTGACTTGGCCAAACTGGTTGATTCGGAACACTTCCAAATTACCAACCGTTACCAACACCACCCAAAGGGTGCTTGATAGACCCCCCCAAAGATGGATATATGTCCATCCAAACCACCCTTTGTGTGGTGCTGGTGCATTTTTTTGTCAGGGCCTATGTTTGGGCTGATGGCTTTTCCTGGAGCCAAGATGCTGGGGTGTCATTTTTGGGACAGGGCTGAACTTGCATCCACTTGCAAGATTTTGCTGTGCGCATGTGGAAACCACCCAGGATTTTGTCGAAGACAAGGCAAAGAGTAGAACTACTTTTGGAACTACCGCACCTCCCGGACACATGGGAAGCAGAAAGGTCAAACACCTTCTTTTGTCAAAGAATCCATCATAGATTAGAGGCTAAGTTTCGATCAGCTGATTGCAGCATGTTCATGTTGCTGCACAGGCTGGTCTTGCATGGCTACCCGGTGATCAATACCAACAACGCACACATCGCTCAAAACCACTTACCCCAGCACCTCGCCGGGCCGACCTCCAAATCGGGTCGATGGCGGGTCGTGGTGTATTTCGATGTCATGCCGATGACGGCGTAGAGATCGAAAGCAGTTTCCTCTCCAAGCCAGTGGTTTTTGAGGTTCCATTCAATCTTCCAGGGCGTAATTGAATAGGCATGACTCAAATCATGAACATAGAGCGACTTAGTGGCAAGCATTGTGCAGCCATGGCGACAAGAATCTCTGCAATGCTCGTGAATGGGGAGAAGATGTACCTCAAAGTCATGCCAGAGATGACGGGTAGGCAGCTCAAGCAGCAGATCAAAGAAACGCAGCTTTTGGATGAAATGACTCGGCAGACTACTGCTGTGGAGATTGTTGTTGGAGACAAACTGCTGGGCAATGACGAGAAAGTTGCCAATGCGGGGTTGACGGAATCGCTCGTCACCGTTGTTTTCAAGCCAAACACCGTGAGATGCTCCAACAAAGGTGCAATCACTAGCTTTGGCAGTGAAATTGACTTGGATCTTTTTCTTGTCGTTGACATTCCAGATGATGAAACACAAATTTCTGACAGAGCGTTTGAAGACTGCCAACCGCGATTGGCCCGATTGAACATCCCAGATTCAGTGACCCGCATTGGGAATCAAGCCTTTCTGGGGTGTTACTGTTTGGCGAGCTTGACCATCCCAGAATCGGTGACCCACATTGGGTATTCTGCCTTTGAGGGTTGCAGCTCTGTGCTTAGCTTGACCATTCCAGGCTCTGTGACTCACATTGGGGATAGTGCCTTTGCGGACTGCACCTCGTTGGCACACTTGACCATCCCCAACTGCGTGACCCGCATTGGGAGTGGTGCCTTTCGTAATTGCATCTCTTTGGAGAGCTTGACCATCCCAGAATCGGTGACCCTAATTGGGGATTCTGCCTTTGAGGGTTGCAGCTCTGTGCTTAACTTGGCAATTCCAGGCTCGGTGACTCACATTGGGAATGGTGCCTTTGCCCGTTTCACATCCTTGGCAAAGTTGACCATCCCAAACTCCGTGACGCACATTGAGAGTTGTGCCTTCCAAAGCTGCAATTCCTTGGTAAACTTGAACATCCCCAACTCAGTGACCCACATCGGGAGTGGTTCATTTCGTGAATGCATCTCTTTGGAGAGTTTGGCTCTCCCGGAATCGGTGACCTTCATTGGGGATTCTGCCTTTGAGGGTTGCAGTGCTGTGGTTCACTTGACAATTCCAGGCTCGGTGATTCACATTGGGGATAGAGCCTTTGCTGATTGCACATGCTTGGCAAATTTGACGATCCCAAACTCTGTGACTGACATCAAGTGTTGTGCCTTCCAAAGCTGCGCCTCTTTGGTGGGCTTAAACATGCCCAACTCAGTGACCTACATTGGGAGTGGTGCCTTTCTTGATTGCATCTCTTTGGAGAGCTTGACCATCCCAGAATCGGTGACCCTAATTGGGGATTCTGCCTTTGAGGGTTGCAGCTCTTTGCTTAGCTTGACAATTCCAGGCTCGGTGACTCACATTGGGGAGAGAGCCTTTGAACATTGCAGCTCTTTGTCCAGTTTGACAATTCCCAACTCAGTGACCCACGTTGGGCATCGGGCCTTCATGGGTTGCAGCTCTTTGGCAAACTTGACCATCCCAGACTCTCTGACTCAGATTGCGGATGCAGCCTTTGCAAACTGCAGCTCTTTGCAGAACTTGAGCATGTCAAATTCATTGATCCAAATTGCGGATGGTGCCTTTGAGAATTGCAGTTCTTTGAAGACCTTGATCATCCCAAATTCAGTGACCCACATTGGGGACAATGCCTTTGAGGGTTGCACAGCCCTGGCAAGCTTGACTATTCCAAAGTCAGTGACGCACATTGGGCACAATGCTTTTGAGGGTTGCCATTTGTTGACAAGAAACACCAACCCTCGTGGAGAGAGTGCGAGGTTTGCGCGGACGGAATCTCAAGTGAACACATTTCCAGGCTGCAGCATTGTATAGTTTCATTTGTGGCGGCTGTTTCGAAAATCTGTCGCTGGCGCCCCTCAGCCGCCAATCCAAGCTTTCCAGCAACTGCAGCGTTTCTATTCTGCAGGTGCAGAGATGCAGCTGGAAACGGTCGCAGTTCTCAACAGAGAGCTCTTGCTTTGATCGCTTGACCTCAACGATCCAGAAAGGGGCGCGGGTTTGGGGGGGGGCAGAGTTCTTGATTGAACGCTCTTGGCTTTTATAGCTTTTTACCTGAGGTTTGGACGAGCGGGGCTGGTAAGGACTTGACACTCTGCCTCGGAGGCCAATCCCTGAACACTTCCAAGGTATTACATAATTACATTCCAGTTCCCAGACGCTCCATGGGACTGCCACCGGCAGGAGGATGTGGTGGTTTCACAGCGGCTGGGCGAAGGAGATGTGGCAGGCGCCGATTTCGCTCGTGCCGTTGGGCGTTGTCCGGTCTCAAAAGTTTATATTCCAGGAGGCACAAAGGGGTGGTTCTTTGTCTCTAAGTGAGTGGATAATGGGAACCCCCATCCTCCAATGGGCACCCCTTTGTGACTTCTGGTTATTTATATATCTTTCCACCCGGGGGGGTGTGTCATATGGGACATATAAACCAGCTCTGCGATTTCGAGCTGACTCTAGCTGCTAGCTTTCGGACATCCAATTTAGAAGACCGGTGGTTTTTCGCCGTGTTCGTCCAAAGCACCGTCTTCTAGTCCGTGGGTTCCAGTGACTTTTTTCAATACATTCTTCGAATTGGCATCCACCCCTTGGTCATTGCACTGGCTCACCGTTCGTCGCGGTGTGCTTCTGGGACCTCGCTTTCAGCTTCTCCTCTCCTCTCCGTCGAACGTCCGCGAAACTGCCAAAATCTGAGGAAGAGCAACATCGGGAAATTGGGCGCCTATGTTTCTTCGCGCTTGGCGGAGGCGTGGCGGAGGAGAAGCTTTGTAAGAGTTGGGAGCGCTTGATTTTTTCTCTGGGAGCTGAAAGGCAGCTGAAAAGGAGCTATGGGGTTCAAAGGGTCTCACAGTGCTTGGATGATGTGGTTCTCTTCGTTCTTTGGTTTTGAATGGTCTTAATTTTAATGTTTGGGCTGCGGGCTAGTTGTTTCAATGGAAGGTGGCATGTGGTTGGATTAGGTTGGTTACGGTTAGCTGTGATGGTTGGGTGCCCTCCCGCTTCACATGAACACATGGCCAGAGAGCGGCGGACCACATGGCCACTTGAGGTTGGAACTTGGAACCCTCGCGCTTGGTCTTGGAGTGAGAGTCAAAGACATGTCATCCAATCTCTCAAGGGTGCTTTTCTTTTGCATGTTGATGAGGAGTTGGGAGCACACGTCACTCAAAAATCCGTTTCCATCCTTGGGGACATACCCAAAATGGATTTCTTCTTCTGGTCGTCCACTCGCTACCCCACCGCGAGACCAACAAGCCCGGGTTCGACACCGAGGAGGTTCATCAGCGTGGATTTGCTAGGAAATAATGGGTTCGACCAGTTTCACCTTGGAATCCCCAAAAGTCTTCTCCACCTTCTCGGCCCTCATATGAAGCACATGCTGTGACAAAGGGAACGCTCCAAGACATGCGCATGGCCTGGCATTTTAAGGGGGAGGTTCCTTTTTCTGGGTGGTGTTTTCCTGTAAGACATCCGGGAAGTTTCGCCCTCCAAAACGAGATATCTTAGGATGCATGCCACGTATCCATCGCTTCTTCCGCACCTAGAAGTACTATGAAGCTATACTTGACTGCACCCCTGCTGAATGAAGGGTCCGTCACGTCTGGGCACGACCAATTCACGATGTGTCTGGTGAATTCACCCTGGTTTCTGGCCCTGGCCCTGGCTCCCCGGACAGTTAACATGGAACAACCAATGCCAATGGGACTGGGGTGTGATGTTTCAATCTGGTTCAATGACTCCACGCCCCTCCGCCGCTGAAGTTCGCCCTCCGCCAGGACGCTGAAGTTCGCCTCGCTGTGCGCAGTCCCTTGGAGAAACATGGAGAAAGGGCGGAATGATGAGGGCAGTCCTAAGGGGTGCTCATAAATTCATTCCTAAGGTGTGCTCAACCCCTAAGTGGCTTCACGCAGAGAACCTGGTGCCCAGGGCGAAGCTTCGGCGTCTGTCGACACTCCGTCCAACTGCGTTGCGATTGGCCGATCGAGTGATGGGGGGTGATGTTTTCTCAGACCCAGACGCCATATATGCCTACATTAAGCCCTCTGGCACCAGCCCTACTGGAAGTCCCAGACAGGTCGTGTCTGGGAGATGTTGGAAGGGTTCCCGGATGGGCTGTGCCCTCGTGCCCAAAATCCGATGCTTTAGGGTCAGTCATGCCGTACGGTACGAGGAACCAACGACGGTACGAGCCCTCGGATCTACTCCTGGGCATGGGCCATTCCCAAAGTTCCAAAGCCTGGCAGTGAGGGTGCAGTTCCCATGGATGGATATGGATGGTGTGGGCATGAGTTGAAGATGTGAGTGATGCTTTGCACAGCATCCCCCTGTGCTGCATGGACCGCATGGCTTTGTGGTTGGCACGAGTTCGAACAACAAACAGCAACCTGGATGTGCATGGACTGTGTGTGCGTAACATTCCCTCATCCCCGCAACTTCTGCGTGGAACGCTGGTGATAGGAGTGATTGCAATTGATTCATCTGGTTTGGCATCCTCAAGCAACATGAGACGTGGTTGTTACATTGACAGAGCCACGGGCGATTTCAGCACTTCGCCAGTCCGGACCGGGTGAACCCTGTCGCGGCACGGACCACCCTGTTCCAATCGATCCCGCATTTGCACCAAAAGCTAAGCTTTGGTGGGCTTTCATCAGATTCAGATCGCAGCAGAAGTCAAAGCGAACGAGTCGGGAACCTTTCCCGGAACCGCAAGAGCAAGCTGGTTACCTAAACATGAAACGAATGCGAATTATATTGGCCTCCTCATCCTCCAAAAGTGTTTAACAGCGAATGTATGCAAACAAATTGGCCAGAAGTGTGACAAACAGTCGTTCCATTCCTCTGCACCAGGGCGCCCCCAAACCCCTTTCGACAAAGGAAGGTCATTAAGTCATGAATCCAAACAAAAATTCACCAACCCCAGGGAGGGCACTGTTTCAGCTGCCGCCAACCTCCTGCACCTTCCGCTTCTTCCGCGGTTCCTTGGCGTCCCCAGGCGTGGGGCCCAAGGCGGGCAGCCAGGCCCTAAGGGCCCTGTCCATCGCCACCAGGTCGGTCGAAAGCGTCCGAGCTCGGTGTTTCGGGGGCGTTTTCGGGACAGATGGACCTGTGGGAAGAGACCGGTGGGGCGACTGGGCGACTGGTTTTGGTGGGTGGGGTGTTGGTAGAGACTGGCAGCAGTGACCCTCAAGAAGAGGTTGGTTCCTTTTTTCGGATGCATCGTGAACCTCCACCTACTTACACACGTTGGATGGCCTATGGTGCCCCCCTTTGTCTATATACATTAGGAGGGTTTTAAGATGCTAGAAGGGTCAATGTAGGCATATACCATCCCTACAGGTCAATGATCTCATTTTACCGGAGTTGGTCATACCATGTCATACCAAAATCACTATACTGCACTGCACTATACTAGACTATACTTATTCGGAGGAGAAAGGCAAGGTTTCCAGACTGGACTTGTAGGGCAATGTAGGGCAAAATTGGAGTGCTTGGGATCTTGCCATGGTATATGGGAGATACATTGGTCAATTGATGTACTGTAATTTTTTCCCGAGAGCGCCTGCGAAGGGTTCTTCGTAAAAAAAACATCTGCAGAACTACGTCTCATCTACATCTTCACATCTTCACCTCTGCACATCTACATTCTCACCTATATCTCTGCTCATCTTCACATCTGCACATCTACATCTCTGCTCATCTTCACATCCTCACATCTACATGTCACATCTTCACCTCTCGCTCTTCTTTACTTTCTCTCTTAAGGCCGGGGGCGGTACCGCCGGAGCACCACGAAACGCAACCCTCAGCAGAGATCGTGCGTGTCGAGGGCGCGAAATGCAGGCGAGAGCGCGTTTTGGCCCGGTCCGGCGCAACCCTCTGCGGAGATCGTGCGTGTCGAGGGCGCGAAATGCAGGTGAGAGTGCGTTTTGGATTTGTCCGGCGCAACCATCTGCAGAGATCGTGCGTGTCGAGGGCGCGAAATGCAGGTGAGAGTGCGTTTTGGATTTGTCCGGCGCAACTCTCTGCGGAGATCGTGCGTGTCGAGGGCGCGAAGTGCAGGTGAGAGTGCGTTTTGGACTTCTCCGGCGCAACCCTCTGCGGAGATCGTGCATTTGTCGCGGGCAACTCTCTGCGGCACGTGCGCGCACAGCTTGACTTGCAGCATCTTTGGAATCGTTTTGCCGCACGTGGATCTGGTAGGGCTTTGACGTGCAAATGTTGTTTTCGTTAACTCCAGCTGGGTAGCCGCGACTCCGTTAACCTCACTATATACCATTGTTGCTCCATTCTTGGAAGGGACTGTCCGTGAGAGTGGAGCTGTTATCACAGTGGAACAGAATTTGTTGTTTTGAACTATTTGTCACGTACAGACTTGTAACACTGATCAGTGATGTAGTAGGTGTTAGGGATCTTTCAAAGCGATCAGACATTCGCCTTTGGTAGTCATGGATCTGGCTACTGACGCGCTGCCGAGTGGAGAACAGAGCGGATATCAGAGACGCTTATGCTGATAGGAGCCGGTAGACTGCTTTGGATTATGTCACAGACCAACACAACTACAGCTTTAAGTCCATAGAAGCGTGGCCTTTGGATACTGCTGTCATTTACAGGCCTACGGATCGAGCATCGCTGTTGCTTGGAAGTTTGAAAGCAGCGTGTAGCTTGCAAGACACTGTGGAGACCTCGTGTTTGAAGGTTACCGTGGTCGTCACCATGTGCGTGCAGGAGATGAAGATCGAAGGTGCACCGACAGACTGGACGCAATACTTTCAACAGCAAGATGTCTTTCACATTCAGTGTCAGTTGGAGGACACGACATTGAAGCCGGCAAGGCGTTGGCTTGAGAAAATTCCGGACTTGTTGGCTTCCTGCTTGCGACAGTGGAAAATCGTTTGCAACCAGTTGTGGGAACAGTCCATGCTGGCCGTCACCCAGGACAAATCCATGCACGTGCTCTTTCACTGCTTTGGTGGCATCATTCGGAGTGCGGAGATTTTGTGTGCTTGGCTCGTTGTAGCTTACGAACATTCCGCGCAGGAGGCCGTGCAGTTGCTGCTTCAAAAAAGACCAGCTTTGCGTCCTTGGCGCAATCGACCCTATGTCTTGGAAGCATTATGGCACCTGGAAGGTTTGCGCGCTGAGTGGCAGAGAGACTTCAGCGCAACACAGCGAGGCTAATTTATGTCGCGGGTCGTCCGTCGAAACTGTTCGGGACGAACCTACGACATCATCACTCAAATGACGCGATCAGCGGTTGCCACAAAAGTCATCGTGACGTTAGTATGTGTGTACTTCACCTTCATGACAAACGATGTTCGCTTGGAATACATGAGTCGCTTGTCATGATCGTGACGTCGTTTGCTTTCAGGTCGCCCTTACGTCCATTTCGTGGGAACTTCAGTGTGAAATGTACGTTCTTATACGTTCTTCAGTTTCATTCGAACCTCTTCAGCGTTGTACTTGCACAACGAAGGTTGACGTTGCGCTGCCGTTGCATCAACGCATCTACGTCTACACCCCCTCGCCTCTGTACATTTACATCTTCACACGCTCACATCCGCAGATCTACCTCTCCACCTCCACACACACCCACACATCTGCGCATCCATATCACATCTGTAAATCCACACTGTCACTCCTTCACATCCGCCCTCTCTTTCTGTCTTTCTACATATCTTTTCTCTCACCTCTGTACATTTGCATCTTCGCACGCTCAGATCTGCAGATCACATCCACACTGTCACTCCTTCACATCCGCCCTCTCTTTCTACATATCTTTTCTCTTAATATTTCAAATCTAATTTCTTCGCAACTTCTTACTCAATAACAGATTGTATAAAGAAGTCATGGCTCTTGGACACCTTGATTTTAAATATTTCATGACCCGACAGTGCTGGACAATCACCTGTCTCGCTCTCGGGCCAACTGTCGTCTAGTTTTCATGTTAATGTTGGAACAATATGTCCACCTGGCGCCATCACCAGCCAACCCACGCCTACACCCGGACCTGGCACGTTCTCGGCCTGACGCCTCGGACGTCAGGTTGGTGGCGAAGGATGGATACCGCTTGCTACTGGCGCCGCGCGAGGAGGAGAAGGCCGAGGCCAGGTGAGGGCGACGTGGGAGTGTGGTGGTCCAGAAGGTGGATGGCATGTTACCATACTACCCCTAGGGCTCCAAGTGCCTCCTCAGAAGGTATTTGGACCCTCTGAACCCACCCCAAACACCTACTACTGTGACATGGTCCCATGAGTGGTACTCGTAGTATCTCGTAGTCATAGTCCATCATAGTCCCATGGTATGTTATTTTGTTGGAAGACTTACACTGTATGAGGGATCTCTAGACAGGGCACCCAGGAAGGTATACTCTAGCCCAGTACCTCAGTCTAAGTGCGTACAAGTACCGCTTCAGTAACTGGAGGAGGTGCATGGTGCAGGAGGAAACTCCAATTATCCCAGCAAGAGATCCAAAGTTTGATGTGTGTGACCGTAAGAACCGGTTCGCGGGACCGCACGCTTTGGGGCAAACCCGCTCCTCCGGTGCCCCAGTCTTCTCCGCTGAGCCGCCAGGATGCCGGACCGTCCGTGCGGCAGCTGGTGCTGGCGGCTTGGACGGGAGACCGCATGAAGCCCGGAAGCGGGTCTGGGGGTGTCTGCGGGTGGGTGCCATGTTCGGGTCCACTCATGCACCTGAGGGGTTACAACTGGAGGTGTAAAAGACTGGACGACTCCCCCCTAGACAGTACCAGGGCTCCCAAAGGCCTACCTCCTCCAGCTTCGCGCCGTGTGACGCGGAACCTTAAGATCTACGGGGACATCTCGCTGGGAGCCAAATTCCCTCCGAGGGGATTCGGTATGATTCGGTCGCCACAAAGCGCGCTCTCACCTTCTACTAGCTCCCACTGGGACCGGTTGTGTCAACAGATTTTGCAGAGCCGTAGCAAGGCATTTCGAGGCGATCTACAAAACAGGAACCAGGTACCAGGATCATCCTGTTTGGGTGTCCAAAAAACTACCCTACCCTACTTACAGGTCTCCAGACAGGGCACCCGTTGGAAGTGCTAGGTATCAACATTTTAAGTAGGTCAACGCAGAATGTTGGACGTGGCGTCATTTTTCTGCTCAGGTTTGCCATCGGATGCCCTTGGAAGAATGAACCGCACAAAAGCGCGTGCTGCTTCGCGCAGCAGGGCCTGCAGGGTTTCACTAGCGCTTCAGGGCGCGGATATGGAATACATGCCCCATCTGCATGTGCAGCATGCTGATGAAGCCAAATACATGGAACAGAGGGCATGAAAAGAAAGGTATACCGTAGAAGCCTTTAAGAAAGGCTCCACAGCATTCCCCGGCCAGACTTGTTCATCTCCGGCGTTTGAGTGCACCATTGAGTGCACCAAAGGGTCTTGCAGCAGTTAAGGCAATGAATTCAATGAATCGGATTAATCTTCAGGTGCTGGGCTGGGTGCCCCGATGGGCGCAGGATGAGCCCCATTTGGGGTATGGGAGTGCCCCAGGAGACTTCCAGAGCCGATCAACAAGAAGAGCACTGGGGCGGAATAGATACCCAAGGTATTGGTATTAGATGCTGGAACTATGTCTTCTATCGGTTGGAAGGAGATACATGGAAAAAACAGTTGGCAATGGCTAGTTGTCTAGGTACAGCTGTTTGGCACATACCCTCATCTCTACCCTTGAAATCTACTCCCTTCCCCCCCTAAGCAGCACCAAACAAGAATAACTAATAACCAAACACCAGAAGTGCACGTGCTCCCCAACCGGCAGCGGCGACCCGCGGGTGGACGTCCACCCGCTCAGGCTCATCACCTTCGACGGAGAGGCGAGCCGCCGAGCCCGCGTGCGGCGTGGCGTCTTGCGGGCGGGAAGGCGCGAAAGGGACAGTCCCTTAAGCGTCATGAAGGGAAGCGTCCCGACGCAGCGGATCCAAGGCTAGGTCTGGCGTCTGAAGGTGTGGCCCCCCCCTCGTATGTGTAGCCAGATGTGCTCAGAAGGTTGGTCCATATCGAAGAGACCTATACCAGCACCGAACGCGGAGGGTTGTTAGGCCCGTGCCCAGGTTTCAATTGGTGACCTGTGAAGTCGGTGCTGGTAGATCTTCCAATGATCTTCTAACTACGCAATGTCAGCGGACCCCTCTTCTTGGCCGTTGCAATGGGTTGGCCCTTCGTCTACCAAAAAAACCCGCCTTTCAAGGCCGACCGGCCTGCGCCTCCTCCGTTCCCGTCAGGCCCGGCCGGTGCGCGCCAGCACCGCCGCGGCCACCACGGCGGTGCCCACCGCCGCGGCCAAGCCACTGGCACGGCGGGCCACGACGGCGGCCACGACGGCGGCCACCACCGTGGCGAGGACAACGGCGGCACCGAAGGGCAGCAGCACCGCGGCGAAGGCGACCGCAGCAGGGGCGGTGTGTGTGTGTGTGTGTGTCCACCCCTGGACAAAGGGTTTTCCAACACTTTTTCTCACAGGCAGGGGCGTGTGGCCTTCTTGTCCTACCACACGCAACGAAGCTGTGGACAAGAAGGGGAAGCAGGGACTGATCATCCCTGTGTACCTGCTGAACTTTTGACCACGCTGTCTAATTTGCTTTGTTTGCTTCCATGGTTCTTCATGTTTCCACCCCCAAACCTTTTCCTACCGCAGACGTGCAGCCGCTTTTGATCCTTTTGCAGCCGCATTTGAACGTGTGAGTGCACTTGTGAACAATGTTCAACAATACTTTTCAGCGGACTTTGCCACCATGCCGTTCCCTCGCCTTCCTTCCCATCGGAGTAATTGAGTTAACTGAAAACCAGTGTCAGAGTGTGTCTCGCTCAGCCGTCCCACTCGGGTGCTGAGTGTGATCCCCGTCACAGGGGCGCCGATCTTACATGGGAAAGCAACAGCCACAACACACCACCACTCACTGGACTCTCACAGGAAGTCACCGACACCCTCACCGAATCAACAGACATACTGGCCGCCGGGCCAAAAAAACGGTTCTTGTGGAATACATCGGATATCAGCTTTCAGATTTCGGATCCGTCATGTTCATTTCTCCACGTCATGCTTGTTTCTCCACGTTTTGCCATATTAATGCCGTGACTTTTTCATCAGCAGAACTCAAGTTTGGGCATTAGAGCTCTTCAATCTAATTCGAGATGCATGAGCACACAACTGACAACAAGCTCACCTCCAGCACCACTTTACAACATACTCCCCATCAACACCAGGGATGAGACTTTCAACAACATTATGACAATACAACTCGGCACTTTTCCGCTGCATCTTTGCTGCTGCGCCGCGCCGTGCCATAGCTACGACTACGATATGCATTTTCCGTGGCCATACGCTCACGCCACGCCACCACCATTACCTACCACACAACCTCAACCCACATGGCCGCTGCCACAGCCGTCAACTGCACCCACCTTTCCCTCGCCACAACCATCGGCATACCCTCACCCACAACCACAACCATTTCAACCACCACCTTTTTTGTCCAGTCCGACCGCCACTGCACTGACCTACGGCACTCCGTCCACCTGGACGTTTGTGCAACCATCTCACATGCCACCGCAACCCACACATCCAACTCCAGTATTTCCGTCAGCAGCACCTCCCCCTTCATACCTGTTGCCACCACTACATCCCACACCACCGGCTGAACCTCCTCCCCCCAATACACTGACACATCCCCTTCCAACACCACAACAAGCAGCGGTTGCCCATCACCCATCCACAGACCCACAATGCGCCATCCCCCAGGGCGTTTGGCAACCTTACTCAGCCTTTCCCCCAGTCACACAACCTCCACCCCAACCGTTGCCTCCGCCGCCCCCCTCCACAAACCATCGGCGCTTCACCACCAGTCCAGCCTCCACTCCCACAACAGACGCCATCGGACCCCACACCACCAATCCAACACGTCACCACAACAGCCACGGACCCTCCATTGCCGGTCCAAAGCACGACCCCTCCAGCTGCTGGATCCCAACCTTCCGCATCACCATCCATTACATCAGCGACACCAGCTCCTGGACCTTCACTACCTGCAACGGACAAGCTTGACACCACCGCCTCACCGGCACCACAACCACCTTCCCCACAGCCACCACACAGCAGTCGCCGCCACCACCACAAGAGCCGACGCAAGTCTGATCATCACCGCCGAGGACGCCACCACCACCGCCGCCGACATCGACATCACCACCACTCAAAGCACCACAGCGCAACCCGGCGACGCCGTTCACCCTCGACATCCACTTACACATCCAGCCTTACACCATCCCGCAGTCGCTCACCACCACAACCCATCGATTTACGCCCCAACACTGAACACACCAACCCCGACCCCTCTCAATTTCCCACCACAGCCGTCCTTCGTCGCCCAATCAACCGTTGGCGACCTCCACCCAACTTTCACACTTTTTCACCTGCAGACCAACTCCTGGAATGGCTTGAATTCCACGCCACCCAACTCGACAACCCCAACCGACCACAGCACCAGTACATTGCCAATCTTCTCACAGACTGCAACATCACCTACAAGGAGATCACCGATTTCCGGCAATATACTCACGCCAGGTGGAACGACACCACTCACCAATACGATCAATTCCAATACTACGCCATTTCACTTCCTTTCCTCAACACAAAAGCCACCACACCAGAACCGCCCGCGGTTTCCCGAGCCACATCAACCCACCGGGAAGTCGCCCACATCAACGCTGGCCATACAGGCCCGGTCGGCAACATTGCCAACATTCTACGTCAAGGTCGATTTTTACCCAGCACACTTCACTTTGCCAACTACCCTGGCTTTTTTGCCCAGGGTGTCCGCATCACCCACAATCAACCCCATGATCACAACGAATTTGCCCGTATCATCCACAACACCTGGCAACTCCACAAGAACTCCCATTCCCTTATCATCACACTCCTTGCTTGGGGTGCCGCCACAAAATATACCTCCGGAGGTGAAGAACATGCCATGAACCTCCTCAACGATTACCACGGCGCAGTCTTCCACCAGAAGGGCCGCTGCTGGGTGATCCACCCGGACCATGCCATTGTCAAAGGACTGGCCTGGTCCACAAACTCCACTCCACCGGACACATAACACCACTGTCCAACACCTCCACACCACTACCACCTCTACCTCCACCTTTTGTCTCACACCACCACATAACCTTTGCCTATAGCAGCCAAAAAGAGCCTCTTGCAGCGGCCACGCGAATTCTGAACCCTCAATTTTTCAAGTTCTGCAGGTTTTGCTCTAAAAAATCTTATTCCGAATCTTACCAGCTGTCTTGATGAAGTTTTTCACATGTCGGAGTTTCATGCACTTGATTGTTCAAAAGGACTTGCATTTTCGCACCATGCCCGTGGGAATTGATGCTCGTTTAATTCATATGCACGGCCACGTGATGGCGCGCTCCCGCAGATCAGCTGCTGTCCTGCTGCCCTGGCGCGCTGCCGCAGCAACCTGTGACGACTCTGTGTTACTGTACATCCCTATATCTCCAAGTCATGAGCAGCACACTGACACCTCCACACAACGACACCCCAACTCTCCTACATCGAACCGCAGTGGTACTTTCGCAGGTCCAAAACCTGCTCAGACAAGCAACAGATATTGTAGCACACCTTCACACTCACTTCCTCCACCACATCCACCAAGCGGATCCCACTTTCCGCCAACATTTTCAGCCACTCCCAACTCCGCCTATCCACCCTATACGTTTACCATCCACCACCTCCTCCTGTGACTCAGCACCATCTCGACCACCCATCCGTTTACCAGCACCACTCTCAAAAGACTCCGACGACACACCAACAACACCCCCAGCTCCACAACCTGCTACAACACGCAAGCGGAAGCAACCACTCCCACCACCACTGAACCAACAAGTGGACTGGGACGCATGGGACGGCGACGCCGATTGCCGCCTGGTTGAACTCAAAGAAAACCCCAGACTTCGTCCCAACTGGGTTACTGTGGCTCGCCGAGTGGGCTTCTCAGTCGAGCAATGTCAAGCCCGATGGCAAGAACTCAAAGACATGCAACGTCAGCAAGACCAGCAACTTTCCTCCACACCACTACCAACAGAACCACCACGACAAGCACCTTCCCTCTCACCAACACCCACCTCACCAGCAGTTTCCCCACCACCACATTCACAACCGGATTTTTCCCCTTCCCCCAAGACAACGCCACCGCCTTCACCACATCGATCACCTCCCGCTGCTGTGCTGCTGCCGCCGGCTGCTGAGCGAGCGCCTAGTGAGAACAGTCATCCGGAGAAATCTCCACTTACGCCCGTTGGCAGTTATTTCATATGATCCGTTTCACCCCGCTTTCTCTACGGCGTGCCGCAGGACAAATCCATTGACATGCAGTGACAAGTTGTTTTCACGCCCGTTCTACTTTCGCCATTCTTTTGGACAACTTCGGTCTTTCATGTTCTCAGGCTCACTCTAGCTCCGCAGCTTTTTGTGTGCC